TTTCGGTTTTTTGACCTCTCTTTGCATCTTGTTCACTTGAGGGCTTATTGTACTTTCTGATCAAAAAGCAATCTATCGTCTAAACTTTCTGATCATTCGTGAAAAATACCTATTAGGATACTGAAGAAAAGAGCAAACATCTGACTGCCTTCATAGTCCTAATGCTTTAATTTTATTAGGAAATTTTTCCTCTCTCATTCTATGTAATTCTTAATTAATACTAACAGTTTTTTGTCTCCATACTGACTCCGAAGACTGTTCGTTCGTTAAATATTCTGTCTTATTATGCAATACCTTGTCCATAATTATTCACCTACAGTAATTTCATTTTTATGGTGATTCCTATTCACCAGTTATAACAATTTTGCTTTTATTTTAGTTGTTTCTGCGTATTTCATTCATATGAGAAATTGTTCAACAAAGTCATAAAATGAAGTTCTGTTTAATCACGGTTGTATATGTGTAGTAAATAAAATGGCCTAGATGATCCTTGTGGTTATAAAATCATTCCTAGTCTCGGATTATTACCTCTGCAACTAGTATTGAGTAGGTGTCCAAAAGTTAGTAGTCTGAGCAAACATAGAAGACGGTGTTGTTTAAAGAGTTGCACGACTAGTGAAGAGATCAACGCGTTAATCGAATTAAGAATCAGATTGAGAGAATGCAAAACTGTTAAATCCATTCATAAAACCAATTAATACAACCTTATCAGTAAGCTCTCATTTTATCGCCGATATACGGATGATACCTTCATTATTGGTGATAATGCTTCTGATAGGAGTACAATAATTACTGAATTCAATGAAGTACATTCGGCTATGAAATTCACATGCGAAGAGGAATCCCAAGACAGAATTGCCTTCCTGGATGTCCCACTTACAAGGAAACCAGATGATAGCATAAAAAGGAATTTGCATAGAAAAAGTACTTGGGCAGGACAATGTACACATTTTCGCAGCTTCGTCTCAATCAAGGACAAAGGAAATTTAGTGAAGACCCTCAGCTACAGAGTTAGAGCTATAGGCTCAGAAGAAGTAACTGAAGATGAATTAAGCATTGCATATGATACTTTGATAAAAAATAGCTATCCCGAAAAATTTATCAAGAAACATATGATAAAGAAGGCGGAAAAGGACCACTCACTATCTGTAAAAAAGAAGCCACTTTATATACGACTGCAATTCAAGAGCAACATACCAAGCGAGATAATTACGAGGAAATTAAGAAAATCAGTTCAAAGATCTTTTAATGCTGGCTAACTACACGTATTATTATAATAAAGGTTTTTGTATTACCCAATGAGTGAAAAACAAAACGATATCGTTTTGTTGTAGTGAAAACCACTAATAGTTCGATTTTGGACCATCTGGTCCAAACCGGCCACAAAGCCAGCGTGGTAGAATCCTTCTCTATTATCTAATAAATTGTCAAAATCATCGAAGCATTGCATGCTCCAAAAAACAGAGGCTATTGCAATTCGCCGCCTCAAAAAACCAGTGTTCTGTGTTCAAAAGAAGCAAGTCCAGTCCCTACTACTGCCTTGGCCTTCAGAAGGGACTTTGAATTCATGAATTTGTAATATTATCTTTCCCAATTTTTCTGACATTCAGCTTATTTTATGTTGATGCTATTTAGCCCTAATCTATCAATATTATTGATTCGATGTTATTTAAACAACATTAATGTTGTTCATAACACTAATTCATTCATTCACTATAATGTATATATAATTGTGGAGCTTGGTGATGAAGTTATCGAAAAGAGTACTCTTTGTTCAGTATCCATTCTTTTGAATAGTTAATACTTTCCTTTTTTTATTACATTCTTTGTTTTTCTTTCACAAACTTTTAAACTGTCTAGTACTACTGTTTTACTGTTGTTGGTTATGCTCGACGTGTATGTTGTTGTTTCCTGGACTCGGTAACCTGGACAATTACTGACAGACAGTATAATACACAAGTTAATGCCTTATAATTTTTATTTATATGCTTATGCATACATATTTGCGTATATGGATGTATATGTGTAACTTATAGTCCGGATAACTCTTAGCCTGTCTTTCCCTGAAATTAGATGTATCAATGTACAAGTAGGCATGATCCCGTATAAAAACACTAAGTTTTCATTCACAAATCTACCACGTAATATTGAATACTCTGTATTAATTTTCTCAGTCTGTTTCCTTTATAAATCATTTCAGTTTGTTTCTGAACGAGAGTGGATTACAATTGAAAGATATCCCTTGAGATAAATAAAACTAGTAAATTTTCTATTGTGAGTTAATAGCTACTACGATTTATACTTGTCTTTAATCCGTTGGCATAACGTAGACAGGTGTATATGGTATTCGATTTGTGGTTTTTTCTCTTCACTTAATGGGATACATTGTCAGTATGTTGTGTGATCATTTGTTTGTGTTATCAATCTGCATAACTCTGTATTCAACAATTTTTTGTATACCGTTAGCCTGTATTTAACAGTTTTTATTTTATTTTTGCTATTTGTTGTTTCTTCTCTTCTACCTTGACCATTATGGTTTTTTTTGCATATCACCAAGACGAAAATTGAGAAGTGATCTTTTTATTTTATGGGAGAAACACCAATGAAACTCGTTGGTGATAGTTAAACTGAACTCAGGGCTACAAATGTAGCATCTCACCTGCAAAGTTTATCATTTGCTGAATCTCTTTCACAGTTATTCATGGATTCGTTAAGTTCTTAATTGGTGGGCAGGGACTAGCAGTGGAATCCAGGATGTGCATTTCGTCCTATTTGGGACTCGTCAACTGAATGTACCAGCATTTCTCAGTGAGTGGTGATGTTCCCACTGAGGCTCGAACCCAATGCCCATAGTTTCAAATGCCAAAGCGTTTTCGCTTGAAGCATTATTCTGCTATGTAGAACGGAGTACATCGTGACAATATTTTTATAAGTCATACTAATCCGAAAGTTGAAACTTAATTTTCTGTATATATATATATATATATTCATAGAACCTAAATTAGTTTTTTGAAGGGTAAGCTATTTTTAGTCAATATAACGATTTGTGTTCGTTTGTTGGAAAGCAGTTAAAGCATCCACCTTCATCAATTTGTCACGAACTATCTCTGTGGTGTCATGATGTACAGTAGGCTTAATTGCAGACTCTTTTAATAAACTCACACAATATTTTTTTGCATATTCCGCTAACAGTTAATTGATTCTGTGTATTCTACTGAAAGCTTAGCATGCATCTTCTGTATTTGTCATCAATAAATAATTTATTTGTAAATAAAATTTAAATTAAAGGGTGTCAATATTCATATTATTCATTAGAGTTGCAAACGTCTGGCCAATAGGCTTCTCTTTCACTTAACATTATCTGCTATCGTTAGACCATAAGTGAAGACGAGTATAACGATCGTTATTTTGCATAAAGTAACTGTATTACATAGTGTCTAACACTTTATCTGAGTATAATACAAAGTTGAGTTACTTTATAGTACAAGAAATGTATGTAGGAGTCAAAAGTGGTTGAAATACTTGTATGGAATCGTCAGCTGGTTCAACAATAAGTGGATAAAGTGAAAAGAAGTTTCTTTCATTTTATTTCATAAGTGTAAGAATATTAAAGAAACAAGCGAATCAATGAATTTATCCTTCAACATATCCAGGTCATCCGAGACATTCTAAGCGAGAACGGATATCCAGAGAAGTACATTAAAGCCAACATAGGTTACAATAGTCGTAAACTTGAACTAGCAACGGTGGAGAAAAAGCCTCTGTTTTCACGTCTCCAATTCAAGGGAGATACTCCTGCGGAGATTCTATCGCAACGTTTAACCAGGGCGATTAAGAAAACTTTGTATTCTGCACGTCTGTGTCTATCCTTCAGTAGTCGTCCAATGTTCACCCAGTAACGCAAAGATGTCTTATCTAACCTTAGCTCTTCTTCATGCATATATCATTTCAACTGTTCCTGTGGTTCAAGTTATATAGGTCGCACGATTAGGCAGGTTCGTTTACGGGTTCGAGAACATTTACCACCTTGGTTCAGCAAGGGGGAAATTAAGTGCATAAAAAGCTCGATCCTGTCACACTTGGTCGATACTGGACATCATATCGATGTCAACACAGCTTTCAGGGTTATATACTGAATTGCGAAGTCGTTATCACGGACAGTTCGCTTACGTCTCCTACATATAGCTGAAGCTGTTGCAATAAGATCGACTAAACCGGAACTTTGTATCCAAAAGGAACACGTCCAGATGCTGTTCCTACAGTGACCAAACTTGAATTGATGATTCTTCTCACCAAGGGTGCTTCTTCCCCTTAACCCTTTTGGTTTTTTTTTCTTTGCTTATTATTAGAAATATTATTATTGCAATTATTATTATTCGTCATAATTTATGCCCTTCATGCAAACATTCTCTTAATACTATCGAATTTTCCATTTATACTGTCCGGACTTATTATTAGTGATATCATCTCTTTTCTGTTTCACATATTCGTTATTTTATTATGATCCTCTCATTACTTACTCATTACTATCTCCTGTTTAACACAGACCACTTTGTACTAGCCACTCACTCACCTGACACCTTTTATAACCTTGAACTGACTTATTTGTCAATTTTCCTACCCCACACTCTACAAATCTGTTATGACTGATCATCACCATTGTCTCCCGTTTTACAATATTTTGTAATCGATTTCAGCCTAGCACGTTTGTCACACAAATATAACTATTTATTTTGACACCCCATAACTAACCTGTTATACTACGTACAAAAATTGTATCTGTCGCATAACTGGCCATTATTGTAACGACCACAAATATTATATTTTATAATTGTTAGAACCTGAAGAGAAATTATTGAAAAGAATATTCTTCGGTCAGATTGACTTTTAATTCGAAATATGGGAATATTTTACACTATCTAATATTTGTTTCTTTTTATTTTTATTTCTGTCAGAATAAATTCACTAAGTGATGCATTTTCTCCTCGTCTTTCTTAAAGGGAACCATTCATAATCTTTTCTGGTGGTGGACGTTCTCCTGGAGCTCAAACAGTCGGGAATATAGCTCAGTCGTCAGTAACTACTACCAATGTTGCATCTGCATCGTCAGTTAACTCAGATCCATCTGAAATTGACCCAACTTTCTCATCCCCGTATACATCTTCAAGTTATCATACGTTAACAATAAAAAGAGGCAAAAGACTAGTTGTTCTTCAGTTGGATCATAAACTTATTCAATTTACGCCTCTTTGTTTATCTCCTTATCCAAGCGGTAAGCAGATAATCCTTTATAATTTACAGTATTTACTTTGGGGAGTATAATTATCACTATAATCACTGTTTTCGACCTAAAGCAAATAACATTTGTATTTATCAGTATTCTAGTCACCTAACTCAAAAAATTTAGTGAACTCTACTAAAAGCTTTCTAGTGGGGTGTACAGAACTTTCTTCTTTGAGTTGATGCATCATGGTGCTCTCATTTCACAGTCCGTAGCGGTCATCTTTACTTAAACAAGTGATACCGCACTTCTTTTGCAAATGTTCACATTTAAATATATATTTTTTATTCATTTAACGAAATCACAATTCTGTCTCAAATATTTTGTTGCATATTATTTTATCAGGTGATGCAACATGCAGTCATTTTTAGCCAACATTTACCAGAGAGCACAGTGCTGCTTCGTTTACATTACTCACTATATTCCTCAGTAATTCAAATAAAGCTGTCGATTTTTCAGATATTCGGTCGATTTTTAATGTAGATTCTACCACGAAGCTACATGAGTTGAAGGAATACTCAAAAATATTGACCGCTTGTCTTATTGAAAAGTCATGACTAGTCAGGTTCTCTTATACAGCTTTGAAGACAAACGAAATCCAGTCACCGGTGTGTTTTATCATACATTTTCAGATATCGGACACCATTAGGCTCTGGCTTGAAGTGTCACCTGACAGTTTGTTTCCGCGTTCTGTAGATTAACAGCTTCTCATTCGTAGGTTCTGTCAAACTGTGGACGAAGCAATTGGCCAGTACTTTCTGATTTCCAGTTGTCCTTTCGCTTCTGTTGAATTTCAATGAAAGCTTAGTTATTTGCATGAAATTTTCATGTTTTTTTTATCGTAAATAGACTAGTATCAATCGGTCTGATGAAAACTAATTATTGCTGCCATTGCGTGTAGACAAGTTTAAGGAATGTACTTTGTACATACTTCTACTTTACTTAGACGTTTCATTTCAAATTTTGTGCCTTGTATGATGCCCTTCTCAAATGCACTCATTCCGTACAACTGAGGTGATAGTTCAACCTTTTTCGTATAACATTGTAGTCTTACTCGCCGTTTCAATTGGAAATAGGTGGAGGACTTCCTGTTTTAATCTATCGAAAATTCCATTTAGATACTTAGGAGACATACCCTCGTGTGTATGTTCATATCTTTTGGAGTGTGCAGTAGATTTGTTTGTATTAACCTTTGATATTAAGTTTCATAAAGGTAATATTAGAATTAATAAAATGGATATGTAAATTTAGTTTAAGAATGTTTATTGACATTTCTCTAACTGTTGGTTGTTTGCATCACCAGTATTGTAGCTAGACAAATAAAACCTGTGAACAGTCATTGACTACGAAGGTTGATAACTCGTTTGTGTTTGACTGTCTTTAAATCATTTCCAACCTTAATCCACGTCAGCTAATAGCCTCATTATAAAAAGGTGGTAGCTTAGTACATATAACATGCGAATAATCAGTTACATCCTTGTCAAATAATTAGTGTATGTTATCTCTGTTTTTTTTTCAATTCTAGAAACAATGGATCCTTATGCAGTGGCTATTCTGTTGCAAGAGGATCTTGTTATCATAGATCTTCTATCTAATAAGTAAGTCAGTACATACTCTTTCATGTGTACCTTTATATTTAATCTCTTTTAATACCATTTTTAAATACTTGAAAAATGGGGATTTATTTTGTCATTCATAATACTTTCCAGCTATGCAACTTTTGAAAACCCATATCCAATGGATTTACATAGTTCTGCAGTCACTAGTTGCTTATATTTGGTAGATTGTCCTGGTGATTTAATACCTGCTTTTTATTCTGTCGGCAATCGTCGACATCGCACACAAAGTGGTACAAGTGCTGAACCTGATGTATTCAGTAATCGTGAATGGCCTATTACTGGTGGAGAATGGGGTCTAAGCTATCAACCATTTCCTGAATTGATCATTACCGGGTAAGTATATGTATACATAAGGAACTACAATTATCCTTGTCATATTTTGTTCCTCAACTTTTTTCATATACTACGAATCTGGTTCTGTCTTATACTGACTAATATTTTTTAAAATACTGAGCCGCAAAAAACATGGTGATAAAAGTGTCATGTATCCATTATGTACAATCGAAGTAAAGCAGAAGTTCACATTGTCTGCATAGATTGAAATCACCTTTTTTTAGATTAGCATATATACAGAAGTTAACTTAAAGTAAGTTCAAAATGTATCAGAAATCAGTGTAATGCACACACGATCGTAAATACTAAGATGTGTATAGTTGTAACAAAAGCAAAAGTTGCATATATGTCTATATGGCTGAGAGAAACAACCTCCTTTACCTACCTGGGAAGCATCGTTTCAACTACAGGCGGTACTGACGAGGATATCAAAGTGAGAATCCGAAAAGCAGGTCAAGCTTTCATTACTCTCAAGTCTGTGTGGAGATCAATAGCACTCAGTGTCAAAACGAATATAAGATCCGGATTTTCAACTCCAATTTCAAATCAGTGCTAATATACAAATCAGAGACTTGGCCAGCGCGTCATAAAGAGCATCTCAAACAAACTTCAGACCTTCATTAACAGTTGTCTTCGCTGAATACAACTCAAGATCAGGTGGCTGGCCAGAAAAGATCAGCAACAGGGATCTCTGGGAATGAGCGAACCAACTGAGCAGGAACCGATTGTGAAACAAATAGACAGGAAGAAATGGAGATGGATTGGCTGGTCATACTCTGAGGAAACCATCAAGGGACATCACTAGACAAGCCATTGCTCGAGTGGAACCCGAAAGGGAAGTGGCGAGTTGGTCGTCAGTGACAGGGTGGGGTGACTTGGAGGAGGTCATGTGAAGAGGAGATGAAAGCGTGTGGGCAAACTTGGAGTGGAGTGAGAAAGTTGGCAGAGAACCGAAGGCAATTTAGACGTGTGACTGAATCCCTATGTTCCTCTAGGAATTAAAGGAAATAATAATATAATAATAAATACTGTTGTTGCTTTGCATATATCTCTGTTACAGTACGAAACTGTTCAATCTTAATATCAAGAAGTTTTAGATTTTTGTGCGACTCCTAATACGCAGTATGTTGTTTAATATTCATTAATTGAGCTCAAATTAATGACTGAAAATAGTGTGACTCTTATTATGTGATCATATTTGTCTGCATGTGTTGTTCTATTATAGCTAATGAAGAGTAAACAGCAAGGTAAATATCCTGCAGATCCTGTGATCAGTTTGGCTGTACTTATGATTCTAATTCCCTTTTCCTTTAAGGTCACGAACTTATATTATATATTTCCCGATTAAAAAAAGTGGTTCGCTTCATAATTCTGTGCCAAAAAGGCATCCCATTGACTTCGTAGAAATTTAACTATGGATTTGCAAGTCACAGATACTAGCCCTTTGATAGATGAATGTGATTATGATAAAAGGACACTCAAGTGACAAGCAGAAATACAAATGACTAATGTCAACTGTCTTGGGTGCGTACTGATGAAGAGTCCCGAACTGGGACGAAACGGCTACCCAGTACTCCCTGCAGGTTTTCCAACGGTTCTCCAACTGATGTCAGCTCATGATAAAATCCTCCAATCACTCAAACAAAAATGCATACGAAACCAATACTTGAAACTCAAATGTTTTCCACAGTAAAATAATGTTGGAATCGACGGCTTGGAGAGCAAGTCTTCCTCATTAATTGTGTTCCGAAAATCGTGATTCTATTTTTGATAGAGAACTAAACTGTAACTGAAATTGTTCCTCAATTCTTGTTTTATTGCTAATAATAATAAAAAAATCTTGCGTGGAATAGACATAATGCTATGGGAATGTTGTGTTGGGAAAGATGTGTTGTCTATACAAGATAGATAGGGATAAATATGACTTTGAAATTGTCAATAGTATGTCAAGAGCTTAGTGATCGTAGTGATCACTACGATATTACATGGAGGAGAATATCGTTTGTTCATAAGCTAAAGGGATTTAAAGAACCTGTTTCTTTTCATCCACGTATAAGAGACTATTGAGTTATCATATTAGCTGCTTAAAGCATTACATGTGTGTGTTTGTTTGTTTGTTTGTTTAAGCTGCAACAACATAGACAAAATCATGTTGTTGTTTTTATTATTGTTTTTGTTGTTGTTCTTTTCCTTCTTGTTCTTGTTTCGTTTATCATTCGTTAATTATGTGGATTGAATAAAGATGAACTGAAATTCTTAATCAGTCAAAGATAGTGTTTACTAATTCCTTATATTACAGAATCAGAGTGTAAACAAATCCCAGTGTTTGTTTGTTTGTTTGCTCCTTTCTATAAATAGAAAAATCCTCACTACAAGTCTGCACTAATTTTATTTATGCGAAAACGCAATGAACAGTCTTCATATTATTCTTATATTATGAGAAAATAACGAAATAATTTTAGTATATATATATATATCTTAATGTTTATTTCAATATTGACAGAAGGCTAACTTAGAAAGTTATTTGTATTTGTAAGTTTCATGAAAAGACAAGCTAAGCACTATATAAATCTCTTTGATGAAAGTGCTTCATTTTGATGCGTGTTACTTTGTAGCAGTATAAAAGCTGAATAATTTGTTGAGAAGATTCGTTGAAGAATCGAAAGCAGGCAGATAGAATTTCAGTCTGTCGATTTATTGCTTGTAAGTGAAGTGGCTAAACTAATTACCTCTGGCATCAAATGCTGTGCTTAACTGAAATCAAAATTCCCTTTATACAAGTATCATCCTAGTGCGCCGAATGTTCGCTAACCACGCACATGTTTCCCGACTGATGCACTCCTAAACCCCTTCTAGTTGACCAATTGATAGGAAGCTTAGAAATGAGGGAAAGTCGGGTGTAAGGCTGACAATACCACAGTTACTGAAACTCCAATACTTCAGTCTTGAAACCTTATGTTTCACTTGAAACTCATGGCATAAGACAGTATCATGCATTAGTTTTCTGACTGCTTTCACATTTGAAAATTCACCTGTTAAAAAGTAAAGTGCTGACTTTTTTTAACAGTAGTAAAAGTTTTATCTGAACCGTGGAATATTAGTGAATTACGGAGAAAGAAAAACATTTGATTTCTCGGTAATATGGAAATGTATATGGTTAGCTAAGTATATCCTTTTAATATCAATTGTATGCATCAGCTTCAGCGTTATACTTAAGCTTTTCATGTCACTTGACATGTGGGACCTTTTAGCTTGTATTCATATAACTGTTTCTTTCTATGTACTATTTTAATTACAAGATATTGTTGAATTCTTAGAATGCAGATTCTAAGGCATTTTAGAATTTACCACATTTTCCTTCTCAATACGTATATAATGTCTTTCAAGCGTGAATATAAAGTCCCCTGTCTCAATAAAACAATTCTTCTCGTCTTTTGTAGACATGCTGACGGATCTGTTCGATTTTGGGATGCATCCGAAGGTATATTTTTGTTTCTTTAAATTCAGTGCGACATTGTGTTTAATTTTTTTTCTTCAGTAAATGCCTGCCATAATTGACTCTGATGGATTAATCCACTAAAAGAACAGATTTTAGTTTGTGTCTTCTTTTTCCTCCATATTGGGAGACAACTTTTTTTTTATCCATGTTACACAAATAATTGAAATCTGAATAAAAAAAAATTTCATCAAAATAGGTCATACTTCCGGGTACTTTCACCTTGTGCTGAAAATGTCAACTGAAATAAAAGCAGAAGGAAAGGAAGGATTGATGAAAGACTAGATTTCAATTTATCTGATTCAATATAACTGGTCGTAGATTGTTTAACCTAACTAAATAACTAATTAAGTTAACTATGAGAAATCATTATCTTCTGTATTGACTTCAATCCCTTCCTACTGCTGTTAAGTTGAGCTTTCAAACAGATGCGCTTATTGACTGCTGTTAACATTCGTTTACCTGATCTCTTTATGGTCTTCAAGTAGAAACCTGAGTGAATTTCGAAGTTTTTCTACATTCCGTGATGCGCTATATAGAGTACGAATATAAAACAGGACCATTATGCAGTAACTGGCAACAGTAACCAAACTGTGAATGCACAGGTTTTTACATCAAAATATCCTGAATATTGAAATTTAATTGGTGGATGGTGACTAACAGTGGAATGCAGGATGCGCATTTCGTCCTCTTTGGGACTCGTCATCTGAATGCGCCTGCATTCCAAAGTAAGTGATGATGTTCCCACCGAGGCTTGAACCCAGTGCCCATAGTTTCAAACACCAAAGCGTTATCCTCTAGACCACCTGGGCCACGAGAGGTTACTCTCGTGCAACGGGTCATAATAATTTTAATTGAATTTGAGATTTCAAGAAAAATACCCATTTATTCATAAGTAAAAACACAGTTTTTTTGTTCAGCGAAGAAATTTCTTTTCAACGACTTTATTTTCAAGCTGTATAGTCGTATTTATATTACGGAAAAAGGTTATTAAGTGGCATTTAAAAGTGACAGCATTTCGGAATTGATTAAAAATCGTTTATCTAAATGTATTAAACGCACTTTTCCTGCAGCTAACTTGCAACTAGTTTTTACCAGCCGAAATATGATTAGACCATGCGTCAAGGATAGATTACCGCTTCTGTCCACATCTATGTGCATTTACTCTTTTACCTGCTCTTGTGGAGCTGTTTATATTGGACGTTGTGAGCCTAATCTCCGAAAACGTGTATTATTATTATTATTGTATCCTTTAGTTCCTAGAGGAACATAGGGCTTCAGCTGCGCACCTCCATTGCCTTCGGTTTTCTGACAACTTTTTCACCCTGCTCCAGGTCTGTCCACATGCTTTCATCTCCTCCTCGCATGACCTCCTCCAAGTCACCCTTGTTGACGACCAACTCGCCGCCTCCCTTTCGGGTTCCACTCGAGGGCTTGTCTAGTGATGTCACTTGATGGTTTCCTCAGCGTATGGCCAATCCATCTCCATTTCTTTCTGCCTATTTGTTTCACAATCGGTTCCTGATTGGTTCGCTCCCAGAGATCCCTGTTGCTGATCTTTTCTGGCCATCTGATCTTGAGTATTGAGCGGAGACAGTTGTTAATGAAGGTTTGAAGTTTGTTTGAGATGCTCTTTATGACTCGCCAAGTCTCTGATCCGTATAGTAGCACTGACTTCACATTGGAGTTGAAAATCCGGATCTTATTTTTGATGCTGAGTGCTGTTGACCTCCACACAGATTTGAGAGTAATGAAAGCTTGTCTTGCTTTTCCGATTCTGGCTTTGATGTCCTCGTCAGTTCCGCCTGTAGTTGAGACGATGCTTCCCAGGTAGGTGAAGGAGGTTGTTTCTTTCAGGTTCTTCCCATTTATGCTTATTGTTGTCTGTTGTTGTTGTTGATGTTGGCTAGGAATCTTCATCATCTCTGTTTTATCTATGTTCACGTGAAGTCCTATCTTTGATGCTTCTTCTGCCAACTTGTTACTTTTCACTTGCATATCTTCCAGTTTATGGGAAATCAGACATATATCATCGGCGAAATCCAGATCCTCCAAGTCTTTTGTGTCAGTCCATTTTATGCCTGTTCCCTCGTTGGTTGCCGTTGTCTGTCGCATTATCCAATCAATTGCAATCAGGAAGATCATTGGTGATAGTAGACAGCCTTGCCTCACTCCCGTCCTCACTTCGAAGGCTTCCGTAAGTTTCCCGTTGTGGATTACTTGGCATGCAGCATTGTCGTATAACTGTTGGATGAGGTGTATAATTGTCGATGGGACCCCGTAGTAGCGAAGTAGTTTCCAAATGACCTCTCGATCGACGCTGTCGAAGGCCTTTTCAAAGTCGATGAAGTTGAGATAGAGAGGTGACTGCCATTCCAAGCTTTGTTCAATGATGATCCGTAGAGTGGCGATTTGATCAATACATGATTTGTTTCTCCTGAATCCAGCCTGTTCCGGACGAAGTTTTTCATCTAGGGCTTGTTTGATTCTCTCCAGGATGATGCGACTTAGTATCTTGCTTGGAATGGACAGAAGCATAATTCCACGCCAGTTTTTACATTGACTTAAGTCTCCTTTCTTTGGAAGTTTGAATAAGTATCCGTTCTTCCAATCCTCGGGTACTTTGCCCTCTTTCCACACCTTCTCCAGCAGTGGTGTCATCAAGTCCGCTGTTGTCTCTGGGTCTATTTTCAAAGCCTCTGCTGGGATTCCATCTGGTCCCGGTGTTTTCCCAGCTTTAAGCATCTTGATTGCATTCAGGACTTCTGATTTCGTCGGGGGGTCAGTGTTCACTGGTAGTTCTGCTTCCGTTGTTGGTATTGCTGGACGTGTTGTAGGTGGCGGACGATTTAGAAGTCTTTTGAAGTGTTCAACCCAGTGCTTTCTCTGTTCCACCTCTTTGGTGATTGACTTTCCATTGTCGTCCTTTATTGGCTTAATCTGTGTCGAACGTTTGCCCGAAAGGTTCCTAGTTGTTTGGTAGAGTGTGGCGAGGTCTCCTTTGCCTGCAGCTTGTTCTGCTTCGTTTGCCATGGTTTCATAATATTTTCTTTTGTCTTCCCTGGCACTCTTCTTCACTCTTTTGTTCAGTGTATTGTAGCTTGCATTCAGCTCCTGTTTTTGTTGCTCGTCAGTGCACTGGATAATCTTTTGCTTCACTGTCCTTCTCTCTTCTATTAGTTTCCAAGTGTCCGTAGTGAGCCACTGTTTGTCCTGTCTCTTTTTTCTGCCTAGAATTTCTATGCAGGTTTGGCTCCACACCGTTTTCAAGTTGTTCCAGTGCTTTTCAACGCTGACCTTTTCTCTGGTGTTGATTTGTATTTGTAACGTGTAGCTGAACACTATCCGGTTTGGTTAATGGAAGGCGAACGTAGAACTGCGAAGTCGTCTATTTGTGATCACCTGTTACAGTCTGGTCATTTAACCACACGTGGTTCATCTTTCAAAGTTATCTACATGGCAAAATCGAATCGATCCAAAAGTTTACATTTTCTTCACTAATGCATAGCCGAAGCTTTAGCTATACATGAACAGAAACGTAAATTATGTGTTCAAAAGCGTTTTGTCAAACCCCTTTCTTTACCTTGGTCATAGTAATGTTCTTTCTAGTTTTTATTTTATTTTACCACTTGAATTCTTTCCACTTCACTTCATATCTTCATTCTTATCGTAATCGTACTCCTATTTTTTTAAAATTTTTAGACAACACTTGACATTTATGATATCAATTCACTTATAAAGCAATCTTTAATAATTTTGTAATTTATCCACTTCAACTCTACGCCTTATAACATTTTAATTATCGTTATTCTTATCATATATATATATTGACTGAGCAATTATTTAGTGCCACTTAATAATTTTTTCTGTAATATAAATACGACTGTACAGCTTGAAAATGAAGTCGTTGAAAAGAAATTTCTTCGCTGAACAAAAAATCTGTGAATTTTAGATTTTCCTGTTGATTGATTGGACTGAAGTGCTCGGTGTCAGGTTGACATATCGGCTTCTTGTGCAGATGCTTTGACGATGTATGGGCATTTAATTAGAATTCAATTAAAACATCCTGATAATTAATTACTAAATTCACCTGTTTAGGATATTTATTGTACTGTATCTCTCGTGTGTCTGATTTAGCAGTTGGTTTTGTCCTTGCAAACACTGTTGAATCGATTCTGTGAGTAATAATGATAATTAAATTTTAGAATTATCTGTCGTTTGTTATGTGATAGTTGTTTAGGCTTGGAGCTATCTGCATAATCCCGTTATCGTGTCAAAGACGTAGGGAAACAAAATTATTTGATGTACGAAATATAAAGTTAGATGAATGGCAATACACACTAAAGAAGGTGTTTGTAAGTTATGAAAGCATCAGTCAACTGTTCATTAAGCACTTTTACATACGACAATATATATATATATATATATATATATATATGTATATATACATTGGAATCATTCATGCGTCCCTCAGCTGTAAAATCTGTCTCTTATATCAATAAAGTGCAAAATTAATATCTCATTGATGTCAACAGTTCAGTTTTCTTTCAGCATACTTTTTGCTTGTGTAGAAGGTTTTTTCTAATCTCATTATTATGTACTGTTCTTTGCCATGTATTCAACTGACAGTTCCAAGTCTGTGATCATAATTTAAACAAGGAATGACAGATTTTCTTTGGTTTAACAGATTTTGATACAACTTTACAGAAAGGTGTAGTAGCTTTGAACATGCTGATTGCATGTTTTTGGAGTAATGTAAAATATTGATCAATTTGGGTTGTTAAAAGGGTTGTCTTTTCGCATTGGCTTTTTCTTGCCCACATGTGTTATCTTGACTTGAGTTTAAAATAAATTTATGATTAATCCTTATAGCACGAATATTTAATTCGATCAATACATACAAAGACAAGCTTTCATTACTCTCAAGTCTGTGTGGAGATCAACAGCACTCAGTGTCAAAACGAATATAAGATCCGGATTTTCAACTCCAATGTGAAGTCAGTGCTAATATACAGATCAGAGACTTGGCCAGCGCGTCATAAAGAGCATCTCAAACAAACTTCAGACCTTCATTAACAGCTGTCTTTGCTCAATACAACTCAAGATCAGGTGGCTGGCCAGAAAAGATCAGCAACAGGGATCTCTGGGAATGAGCGAACCAACTGAGCAGGAACCGATTGTGCAACAAATGTGCAGGAAGAAATGGAGATGGATTGGCTGGTCATACTGTGAGGAAACCATCAAGGGACATCACTAGACAAGCCATTGCTCGAGTGGAACCCGAAAGGGAAGTGGCGAGTTGGTCGTCAGTGACAGGGTGGGGTGACTTGGAGGAGGTCATGTGAAGAGGAGATGAAAGCGTGTGGGCAAACTTGGAGTGGAGTGAGAAAGTTGGCAGAGAACCGAAGGCAATTTAGACGTGTGACTGAATCCCTATGTTCCTCTAGGAATTAAAGGAAATAATAATAATAAATATCTTACTCTACAGAAACAAGAATGTTATTGAAACTTCAACACTTCAAGCCTAAAGCTCTGTGTTCCACTCGGAACTTAGTGAATGCTGTAAAAGAGAAAAAAAGTTCATTTAATGAGAGTTCATTCAGTTATGTTTGTGTAACTCTCTTCAATACATATTGATCACTGTATTGTCATAATTCTAATTATTCTATGAATCTCAATTTTATGTTGTTTTTATTTTGCCGTTAAATTGTTCTCCATGATGCCTCTTGATTACTGCACACCTGGTTTTTATTCTATTTTCTCTTAGTTACGCTTACACCGTTGTATAAGTTTCGTACATCGAAACTTTTCGGTAATTCATCATTCAGTGCAAATAATACATGTGAAACAGGCAGCACTTCACCTTCGGATACAAAAGATATAAATGCTCAATTCTCACCAATTTTATTAGCAACAGAATCTGATCCCTTTGCTATACGATATATGCATTTCTGTCCAGAGTCTAGAAAGTTACTAACCGCTAGCAGTACGCATACCTGCTTATTGTACTTTAGTCGTCGAGAGATAAATGTGGAAACTTCGGTGAGTTCTTTTTCTATTGTGTTAGCATGTATTACACACCTTTATACTATACGTACTCCCTAAACAAGCGTTTATTATCTTTAAGAAAAAAAATAAAATAAAATTTCTATCAAAAATCATTGAAATCACATAACAAATTTTGCCTACATTGGTATCCTCATATTCATTTCAAATATGCATACATTTAAGACATTTGGTAGTTTATGCACTGATGACAGCGAGAAGTAACGTTTTGCAAGCTTTTCGGAAATCCAACTGTGAATTGTGTGTGTATTCCAGACATGAAAGTATCTTGGAAACAGAAAATATCACTTCCAATTTAAAGCGACTACTTCACATGCGAGGTGGACACTCCTGATATGCTGCACTAATCAAACTTTTTGAAGGATAAAGTAGTAATAATTTAATTAAAGGCTATACTTGAAATCCTATACATATTATGACCTTCGGTAAATGTGACCGTATGTACCCCGCTCAGGTGACTCGTTTAATAATCACAATCCTCCTGGGTATCAAGTGCTTAACCAATTTTCACTGAAAAGAAAGTGAAAGAACCATTCGATTTTGTATACTCCGTGAAATTTGCTACCCCCCAACTGATTAGTAAGCAGATTGTTTAATAGTCATCAGATGCTTGCTTATACTAGCCTTATAGGATAATGACTGAAGGTAGAATTAAACTTTAACTACGAGGCCATTGATTACTAATCCAATCAGTGTTATACCAATTGAGCTTCTATACCCAGCTTTCAGCTATTTGGTAAATGCATAAAAAGTCCATAACTTCTTCAATGATTTCCTCTGTCTTGTGGATGTGCAACATACTGCCATCATGTAAAAGTAAGCAGTCGCTAAGTTGTTTAATTCTATGCAGAACAAATAACAACGAACAGTTAAGAAGCAGTTTTTTTTTATGTTTACTAGTATATTTATGTCTGAAATATTATCTCCTGTCGTTCGGTTTGTTTGTTTGTTTGTTTGACTTTTGTTCACTTCCTTCCCTTTTGTGATAATAACACAGAATTGTTATGGTTTGTGTTTTCATTTCCTGAAGTCGTTAGATGCGCTTTTCCAAGACTTCAAAATGACTAATGTAATGCCGGTTTCGCCTACTGCTTAATTCTCTTCATCATATTCATTGTTCGCTCTACGAAACTTTTCTGAACAGTGTAGCATCTATCTTTCTATCTATCTATCTATGCATTTATCTACCCAAGGTAAATATTGTTGTTCTTTCTAATGGACAAATTAATTCTTTTAGTTCACTTCATGCTGTGTATTTCATATTACACTTTTCCTTTCTCTTTCATAGCTGGATGGTTTTCCTAATTGTCAATTATGAAAAAATAAGATAGATACTCTGTGTATTTTTTTAGCTCTCAATTCTCTTTTCTTCCGTTTGCCTGTTCACTTAATAAAGACGCATAAATAAGCATAACTTCTCTCATTTTTTTGTTGTTTCATTGTCTCTGTATGCATATCATTAGATGTATACGCATATATGTAAGTCTGTTCTTTTCAGTTGTCGCTCTTATCCTATGATTTATTTGATAGGCAAACTCTGAGGTACGGTTTCACTGAAAAGTATATATTTTCGTTTTTTCATGGTTCAGAATTATTCTCCAAGTCCCATTTATTGTTATAAATCTCATTACTCCTCGTTTGTTCTTCTCCTCTTCCCTCTCCTCCTCCTCCTCCTCCTCCTCCTCATCATCATCATCATCATCATCATCATCAGCGTGCATTATTTCACTTCTGCTTTGATGTTTTTTTTTTTTTTATTTCTTCGTTTTCTTTCCAATATGAGTTCACTTAATTCATTATCTTACATCTTTCTGTCTGCTTTGATAAGTGAATGAAGCGGGTAGAATTAACTTAGTTTTCGTGTTAAACTTGTTTTCCTTGTCATGGTTCTCATCTAAACTATGTGTTTGTTTCCATAGCCTAACGAAATTAAAGTCTACTGTTTTTCATGTTTTGTATTTAGTACTTGTTTTTAATAATTACAAAATATCTTGTTGTTTGTATTTACAGTTCAATGAACTTGAAAAATGTCTTCTTTCTCTGACTTTCTTTCACGCTCTCTCTCTCTCTCTTGATTATTATCTACTTGTCTGTTTGCATTCGTTAAGATATTTTGTCTAGACACACTGTTGTGCTTGTTTGTTACTGGACTAGATATTTCCCTAAACACAATTCGTATCAGTGAGAATTTCTCTTTCTTTTCCTTTACCGCTTAATCACATTGTTCACTATTTTTTAAAAATCGGGAATTACACACCTCTGGCTCCTTGCAAACTATGAAACGTTTATTACCAGATTAATGAATGTCTGTGTCGTTCATGTGTCTCTGGTTCCAGTCTTTTCTATAACCCCATTTGTTTCCTTTATATCGTCAGCTTTTATTCAGGATATTGTTCAAGATGAAATTCTTCAGGATACAACGTTAATTCCTTATGATTTTATTTGCTACTGTTCTTGTGATGTCTTTCCAAGCATGCTTACTCATAATAATTAGTTTTCATCCTAGGAGTATACTCCTGATTGACAATTTATCATTCATCAAAGTCATGACAATGTATTCGGACATTCACAATTTCCGAATGATTGACAAGTCCTAAACTGTCCTATAAAAAAAAATCTATCATATTTTCATTCCAGGCGAACATTGGAAAAAGAATAATTCTAGGCATAAAACCAGTTAATTGATATGCTGGTAAGAATAGTTAAAACTCACCTCTGATATTCAATATCCGGTGTATTTGTATAAGGTACAAGTGCATTGTTTCACGTCTAATTTCGATTTTATATTCACATTTTATTACTCAATTTCGAGTAAACGTTTCATGTTACTTGTAAGTAGGTAAAATGTAACTCAGAACATTTTCAAAAAAGTCGGCTGCCACATGCGTAAATCGAAAATTCACCTGCTATTCTTAAAAAAGATAGCATACTTTCCATATCTGAATCCCATAAAATATAAAGTTGCTTCTCAGTAACTCAGGCTTGGTGGAATGTGGTTATAAGTCTATATCTGTCGTGTTACTGATGGACATGACTTGGAGCCTTTTTACTGCAACTTATTAAAACTAGTTTACTTTATGTAGTGAAATTAGGCGACGTTGGTTGTTTATAGATTTCATAAAACCTGGTTGGGGTTGATGGAGGGATAAGTCATTTGTCCCGGTATCTGGCCGTCTAGTCACTTTTCCTTTTAATGTATACATCCAAAAACTTAATTAAATTATGAATTGTGTTACTAGACTATGATGTAAATGTATCTCAGTTATTTTACATAGTTTACTGCATCCTTTCTAATATATCTTCCTTCTTGAAGTTCTTTGTAATTTACTCTCCTCTGTACCTCTGATGAAGTTTCTTTATTGAGACATGTTTTTTTGCTAATCTGTCGCTTTTATCTTCTTTAATAATCTGGAGAAGAATGAAAAACTTTAGCATAGAAGACTTTGTCAAACCGCTTCGAGAAAGTGAGATCAGTATTCGGTAGGATTTTAGCATGGCAGACACAAGTAACTTTTTATCCAACAAAGTGCTTTTGATGAATAGGAACTCCCGAATTGCTCACATCATTTTTGTACCATATTGCTTCCTTTCGCAAATCATTAAACCAATTTTTGTTGACTGAATAATGATCTGGCATACAAATTTGAAGCCTCAAAAGTCTGTTCATGACAGATAATCACGAATCATCAGTTTTATTTTATTTTTGTGCAAAAACTTTATCTCAAGCCAAAATATTTCCTGATTGATGCTACAATCGTACATCAGTCAGCACAAATGAAGTATTATAATTAATTATGGTTTCGATTCAGCATGGAGTGAGAGGGAGAGAGAGTAGGACACTCGTATTCCCCTTCACTTATCGTTGAAACCTCGTTGGTTTCTTAACGGATTTCACCTTGTTTAATAAAGCTCCATGCTAGTCTATAGTGTCATAGGCTAAATAGTTGACTTTTCCAGGTTCCTATTCATTCTCTAGTCTTGCAGTTTTATAACTATATCATAATCTTTTCTTCTTGCTATTATACCAACATGAAAGACTAAAGAGGACAGAAATGTATTCACTAAAATTCTACGCTGATAATGATAATCATATGAGAATACGTGACCAGAAAATATTTATTACCTCACTGATGAGATGCTTTCATGTGATTAGAAAAGTGAGGAAATACAGACAAGTGTACAAGGTATTTGTTAACAACGAAAACTATCTCATTGTTTTGTTTTCTTATCATCTGATCTTATTGTGCAGATTTCAGGCAGGGTGTTACACAAGATACTCAATATGTACTATATATTACACATGCCTAATTACTATTATGAAGTGAAGCAGGGAAATGGCTAGATAATTGTGTTTTCTGTTTTACTTTTATATCTTTTCTCTCATAACAAAAATTCAAGATTTATGATTAATCGTAAATATATGGTTCTCTTCGCATATCAGTGTTATTGCGCATTTTATTTGTCAATTTTAATTAACAGTCGTGCGTCGGTGGCACACAGGGTAGTATGCTCACCGACCACGCATGTGGCGCTCCCGCCAAATACAAGATGTTGTTACAGGACTGAACTACACCGACTCCTAGATAAGAAATAGGAATTGAAGTGATAGAGCACGTTGACCGCTTCACTTATTTGGGAAGTACCATGAGCCAGCGCCAACGCGTTGATCTCTGACGAAATATCAGCACAGATACAAGGGGCTAGTTTCGCATATTCCAGTTTACGCCGTCTCTGGCGTAGACGAGATATTCCACTGTCGACCAAAGGGCGGATGTACTGCTCATCTTTCCCTTCCTCTTCCTTTATGGCTGTGAGACCTGGCCCCTGAGAGTGGAAGACATGAAAAGATTAGCTGTCTTTGATCATAGGTGCCTGCGTTCGGTCTCCCGTGTGAAGTGGCATAATAAGGTGAGCAATATTGAGATTAGGCATCGGTCGAGTTCTAGGTAAACAGGGGAAATCAATCGACGAAGTTGTGAAGTTACAAAGACTGAGATGTTTAGGACATGTGTTACGTATGCCTAGCCATCGCCTTCCTCGACAACATGCAATGTTAGCTGACATAGGGTCAGGCTGGAAAAGAGCTGATGATGCGGAGGTCAAACCAAAACATGGCTTCACCAGTCAAGGAAATCTACAACAGTTAGTCTAAGCCAGCCACGTAGGAAGGTGTAGACTTCCTAACTGGTTGGGGTCCTCGGGACGGTGAAAATCAATGGTTGGAAGCTATTGGTAACATGGCTCAAAATCATTCTCAATGGCTGGTGCAGATGCATTCACTCCTTGTGACTTTTGATTTCCAATGAAACTGTTTTGTTCTTCGTTATTACTATTCTTTTGTCTCACACCTCTGTTTACTGTCTCCGATATGCATTTCTTCTACTTTCTTCTGTTACTTTGTGTGGTACATGGAGTGTGGCGACTTGAACGGCCGTACATTTGTGCAAAGTTCTATGTCGAAAACAAATAGACAGACGCATGTGGTTCGAGGTTCGATCCCCGGCCGACTCACTCTTTTCCTTCGCTAAGCCAGTATTAATACTGATACAGAGGTAATGTTGGGCATGAGGCTAGCAATTCCCTCTCGGAAAAATCAACACCACTGCTTGAAGTAAAAGGAAAAAAATTAACAGGCCTTTGTGAATTATTATTCCAATACTCTTATGCATAATTATGCATGCATAACTTTAATTAGTTCAGGTTTGAAGAATGATGACCATAACTGGTGATGAGTGAATTGGCAAATTGACTGGTAAATTGGTAACGGTGAACTGTTGCAGCGAACCAGTCAAACACCTGTTTTCCCGACGTAGGTGGAAAAGACATTCAAGTGACACCAAACTCTAGGTGCTTGGATATAATCGAAATAAGAAGCGACGCTTTAGGAGTCTGATTTCACTATAAAGATCATCTGTAGTTGAAACCAAAGTTTTTGAGCAGTTGCGGAGTAGGTTGAAAGTGATGATAGGTAACAGAGTAGTCGCTGAAACTCTATGCTCTACACAAAAGCAGGAGTGAATAATTAGAATAATAATAATAATGTTGCAGAAAAATCTGGGAGGAAGTCATTGCTCCTTCTGATTTTCCAGGGTAGTTTAAATAATCTGCGATGCATTAAAAGCCTCTAACTTGTATGTTTCCACCTTTGGCTAAGTTTCATCTTCATAAACTTGTTTGGTGCAGATGCAAAAAAGACGAACTGCTTTTTGACAATGGTTTTCGTATTATATTTTTGTAGGTTCCATTGTCAGGATGAAGAAGTGTTGGAAAGTTTTCGATTTTTTAACAGTTATTCCCTATGTCCACTTTATGTTATCTCTGATTACCTTCAGTATGCCAAAGGTGTAATAGGGCCAGTTAGCTTAGTTGTTGCTACACTATTACTTAGAAATGATAGAGAAGATTTGTAGCTCAGGTGGATAATTTTGATGTGGTTTTGTTCTCTGAGCTGGATGGTTAGTTTGCGAAGCTTTCACCGCCCTACTGGGTGACATCTTCAGCGCATACTTCAATTTGAAGTGAGCTTTTAGGTTTCTCCACGAGTTTACTAATCATTCCTCCTGGTGACCTTGGACGTGATTTGCTGTTCATCAAGAGACATTTACCCCCAAGCCAACCTACCAAAACAAAAGCCACCAAGGAAAACACAAAGAAAATCGCCTTACCATATATAAAAGATATCTCAGAAATCACTACAAGACTCTTCAAACCTTTAGGAATTGACATCGTACACAAACCAACAAAGTCGCTGCACTCAATTCTATGTCAACCGAAAGACTCAACAGCGAAAGAAGACAAAACCAACATCATCTACAAAATAAACTGTAAAAAACACTACATTGGCCAAAGTGGACGTCCCCTTCGTCTTCGTATCCACAAACATAAGCTAGCCGTCAAAAGACATGATATACACTCCCTCATTTCACTACACACAGACAACCACGGACATCAATTCGACCGGGACAACGTTCAAATATTAGACAAAGGAAATAACAAGAATGCTAGAGAATTTTTAGAAGCTTGGCATTCCAGTGAATCATCAATCAATAGACACATCGAGATAGACAAAATTTATCATATATATATATATATATATATATATATATATATATATATATATATATATATTACTTAAGTAATTTCCTAGGGAGTTGTTGCACTATGGGATTTCATCCATATCCCTTATTTTAAAAATCTGTTTTTCCAGTGTTGTTTAGATGTACTATCCTTTCCGCCTAACCGAATGGATTGTTTTGCAATCAAGAAAATGTAATTGGAAAAAGGAAAAAAGTTGACCTAATACTCAAAGAAAGGAATTATCTGTTTCAGCCTGCCAAACCTGAGGAACCCATGTGATCATTTCGTTTTATTTTTCTCTCTTTCTTTTTTAAAAAAAATAGGTTATGGATATCAATATGGCCTACGATGGGTTAGATGATCTAGGTTTCACTTATTCAGGAGTTAGTGGTGATGCGTTTTCTGATGATCATCATTATTCCACTGCTGATAGTTTCACTGGCAACACAACTAAAGACAATGCTCAGCAGTCACTACCTCATGTATCCAGTGGAAGCGTCAGCTCTTATCAGTCTTTGTCTCCTACAGAAAAGGTACCATCATTTGCTTTCTTACTGAGGAAATTTTCTGTTACAATGTTGTTTTATGTAATAAATTATTACTGTTTAAATGCATATATATATATATATAATTTTCTGACTTACTACTCCAAGATATTCCAATTTTTCTCAGATTTGATGATTACGTCACTATGGAGACAGGAAATGGTACAGTCAGTTAAGCCAGCTAAGTTTACGTCAAATGTAGGTGGAAAAAATACGTTACTGTTACTTTAGCTTAGTTTCTCGACATAGTAGTAATGCAGTAGTTTATGAATATCCTGAAGCCTATTTCAAAAGTTACTACTGAATAAAATAGGCAAAAGGCAAAGTTATTTTATGTCAGAGCTAATTTATCATAGGAGCAGTGGAAATACAAATCAAATATTTTTGATAAATTACTAATTTTTCATGCAAAAACTATCATCCTTACTCTTAATAACTCCTAAAATTAGTTTAATAACTTCCAAGCGAACTAGTCCTAGTAGTAGTACAGTTTGAAAAATGAAATAACAAACTAATTAGTGGATATTTTGAGATATTTCCTTTCCAGTTCACATAGCTAGTCGACTGATTGGTTTGATTTGTTTTCATTCTGTCAACTTATAAAAATACGCTTATTTTTAGCTCTCAGTGCCTCACTGTTACTGCAGCGTTTAGCGTTTGTAAACTAACTATTTTCATCATTAATGTTATTGGGCTAATAGATCGTGTTTTAGTAAATAAACAGTCGTTTTAAAAAACACAGCTTGATTCACGAGTATGTCTTTTCTGTTTCGACAATTTATAGTTATATTTTGTGATTCTGATTATCCGGTCGAGTTTATTCGTCTTACCAGTGATTGCTTAGTAGCATAAATTTCGGATAACTGTCAATTGATGATTTATTGTCTCATTTGATCCAATAAATATTCTTCTCTGCCGTGATTTACTTCAGTCATTTACTTGTAGCTGTGCTGCATTCTGTGTAGGAGTCTAACAATCAAGACTTTTTTCAAAGCTATAAACCGTAAATTATTTTATCCCATAGGAGAATATATATATATAATGCTTTCGGTTCTGTTAACTACTCGAACAAACTTGTGTCAGTCATATATGCTTGCGCAAACACGTATTTATTGCCTAATGTGTTATTTGTACGGCCTAGTTTGTTCTAATAGCTAACTTATTTTGTTTCCAATGTGTGTGTTTTTATCCTTCAAATTAGCATATTTAAGGCTACATTTTTAAGGAGAAACTTTTCTTCCGTCTTTCCAGTCTTTAAAGATTCATTATCCTTATCTCGTTTTAGCACGCATGTGTGGGATTTCCTTATCACAAGATTTGACGGGTTTCTACTTTCTCTCTCTTTTTTTTATAACCCACTATAAGCACGAGGCATATCTTCTTTTGAAATAGATTAATAATTATCTCAGATTTATTTATTTCTGACGTTTATATTACTCTATATAATTTGAAAGTAGTCAATAATTTACGTCAAGTGAAACCGGTGAAGCAGGAACAGCTATTCTGTTCTTCTTCTAGTTTTTGTTGCATTTATATTTAACTACTGGTCCTGTTTCACTTTTTGCTGCTATTACAACCCACATCCCTTTTCTTTCTCTACTTTTCTAATTAGTATCTGTCTTCAGGCGATATAGTTAATCTGCATAATTGATTAGTTGACTCTGATGCAGGCTTAGTATGCTTCAGTTGTCGTTCATGCCGATTAGTTAATGAAATGAAAATGTATTCCTTAACTCTGTTGTTACCTCTATGTATATATTCGAAGGGTAGTTTCATTTTCAACTGGATGGATATTATTAATGGTCATATTATGTTGTCCCTTGGATTTCCCCACCCACCCCTTCTCTCTCTCTTTGCACACTATATATCCCTTACCTCTGTATCTTGATTTTTAATAGCACAGTATGTTAATCGGCTAGTAGGCGGCTTTTATTATAGTCCGGGATCAGTACAGATACTATGAGAAGCTGACTGATACAAGACAACGAGTTTTTTGTTTAGAATAAAGGTGATCTCAGACTGTTATAAGTAATTCTTCACTTTTTGTCAGATGCAACATTTAAGGTATATCTCTTGAAGTTATGATACGAGTAAGTAGTCTTTTCCATCAGGAATGGTAGCCTGAAGATTTGGTAGGACAGTTCGCTGTAGCATGAATGAACTGTACACATGTGGATACTTTTAATGCATTATCCCCTTTGGACTGAACAGGAATTTGATTGTTATAAAATTCGTCATCTAAACCAGTCAATGATAAGCAATAATATGAAGCGTTAAAGCTTAAACAAAATAACTCTGGCTAAAGTTTGATTTCATTGAGGATTATATCAACACAATTAAGTTTGTTTTCGACATAGAACTTTGCACAAATGTACGGCCGTTCAAGTCGCCACACTCCATGTACCACACAAAGCAACAGGAGAAAGTAGAAGAAATGCATATCGGAGACAGTAAACAGAGGTGTGAGACAAAAGAATAGTAATAACGAAGAACAAAACAGTTTCATTGGAAATCAAAAGTCACAAGAAGTGAATGCATCTGCACCAGCCATTGAGAATGATTTTGAGCCATGTTACCAATAGCTTCCAACCATTGATTTTCACCGTCCCGAGGACCCCAACCAGTTAGGAAGTCTACACCTTCCTACGTGGCTGGCTTAGACTAACTGTTGTAGATTTCCTTGACTGGTGAAGCCATGTTTTGGTTTGACCTCCGCATCATCAGCTCTTTTCCAGCCTGACCCTATGTCAGCTAACATTGCATGTTGTCGAGGAAGGCGATGGCTAGGCATACGTAACACATGTCCTAAACATCTCAGTCTTTGTAACTTCACAACTTCGTCGATTGATTTCCCCTGTTTACCTAGAACTCGACCGATGCCTAATCTCAATATTGCTCACCTTATTATGCCACTTCACACGGGAGACCGAACGCAGGCACCTATGATCAAAGACAGCTAATCTTTTCATGTCTTCCACTCTCAGTGGCCAGGTCTCACAGCCATAAAGGAAGAGGAAGGGAAAGATGAGCAGTACATCCGCCCTTTGGTCGACAGTGGGATATCTCGTCTACGCCAGAGACGGCGTAAACTGGAATATGCGAAACTAGCCCCTTGTATCTGTGCTGATATTTCGTCAGAGATCAACGCGTTGGCGCTGGCTCATGGTACTTCCCAAATAAGTGAAGCGGTCAACGTGCTCTATCACTTCAATTCCTATTTCTTATCTAGGAGTCGGTGTAGTTCAGTCCTGTAACAACATCTTGTATTTGGCGGGAGCGCATCGCATGCCAAACATTCGTGGTTTACAGCTCAAGGTGTTCAGAAGACTCTGCATTTTGTCAGCGTCCTCGCCTAGAAGGACTATGTTCTAGAATCTGTCGGAGGATGAAGATATGATCAATACACCCTCTTCCTAGTCTAAAGCCTGCCTGGCTCTCTCGTGTTTGTTCCTCCCGAGCACCACTCAGTCTACGCATGATTATTAAGCCTAAGACTTTAGATACTATATTAGTTAAGCTAATCGTTCTGTGATTATCACAGGAAGACTTGTCTCCCTTCTTGTATATGGGGATAATCAGTGACTTACACCAACCCGATGAGACTTCTTCTGATTCCCAGACGCTGTCTAGAATCTGCCTAGAACCACGAATAAGTAATGAAAACTACTTCTAATGTAATATACTATTGCTCTGTAAGTATATAGCAGTCGTTGTATATATATATATATATATATAAATTGGTGAGTGAATGTGTTTCTCGCCTTCCTGATTTTGGATTAGAAATCCATGTCCGTTCCAACTGCCTGTAGTTGAGACAATGCTGCGTAGATAAGTGAGTGAATGAAGTAACGTTTTTCAAATCCCTCCTATTGATGGTGATTGGCGCTGGATGTTGCTGCTGTTGTTGTTGGCTGGTTATTTTCATAACCTCAGTCTTGTCTATGTTCACTTGGAGTCCTGTCTTCGCCAGCTGCTTCTTCGACCAGTTTGTCGGTTTTCGCTTGTAAGTCTTCGATTTTGTGACAGTGACATGAAACATGAATCATCCACGCGCGAAATTCAGGTCTTCTAGGTTCTTCATGTCGGTCCAGGATGTCCCTGTCTTGTCGTTTTCCACTGTCTGACGCATAATCAAGTACACCACAATTGGGAATATCATTGGTGATAATAAGCCAGCACCTTTGTCTGACTTCTATGTTTACTCCAAACGCCTCACTGAGTTTTCCGCTGTGGATCACTTGACATGTGCCGTTGTCGTACAGCTGTTGAATAAGGTTGATGAATATTTGTGGTACGCCATAGTACTCAAGTAATTTCCAAATTACTTCGTGGTCAACGCTGTCGAAGGCCTTCTCAAAGTCTATAAAGTTGAGGTAGAGATTTGATTGCCATTCCATGCTTTGTTCTGTGATGATGATTCGTAGAGTTTCAATTTGGTCAGAACATGATCTGCCTTTCCTGAATCCAGCTTGTTCTGGTCGGAGTTCTGTATCCAGTGCGTTCTTTAATCTCTCCAGGATGATGCAACTGATGATTTCACTTGGCGTCGACAGGAGCATGATTCCTCGCCAGTTCTTGCAGAGTGAAGCGTAAGTCGCCCTACTTTGGTAGTTTCACGAGGTAACCTTTCCTCCAGTCAGTAGGCACCTTCCCCTCCTTCCAAACCTTTTGCAATAGTAGAGTCAGCATATCTAATGTCGTCTCTTTGTACGCTTTCAGTGCTTCAGGGGGTATTCCATCTGGTCCAGCTGCTTTTCCAGCTTTCAGAAGCTTGATTGCATTCAAGACTTCAGCTTTCGTTGGAGGATTGGTGTCAACTTGCAGTTGTGTGCGCGCTGTTGTTGGTATTTCTGGACGGGTTGCAGGTGATGGTCGGTTCAAGATACCTTTGAAGTGATCCGCCCATTGTTTAATCTGTTTTTTTCCTTGGTGATTGGGTTCCCTTGGCTGTCTTTTATAGGTTTCGCTTGTGTTGATCTCTTCCCGGATAGAGATTTGGTTATCTGATATAATGTCCTCAGGTCCCTTTTGCTTATATATATATATATATATATATATAGTGTTCAGCAACAGTTACCAATATCAGTTTTTGATATGCAAACATAATTCGTTGATGTGGTTATGTTGATATCTTTTTTATCAGTATGATTTCGGTAATTCGGCGTGATATGACGTGCTGGTCTAACGTGATTTTCTTCAGTTTTGTAATATTTGTTTTGAGCAATAATTATTGTTTTTTTAAGAAAAGATGTGGGGCATTTTCGGCGCCTTGTCATTAGTGTATCTAACTCTGTATAGTTTGTAGATTTATGCTTTATTTTCCTTTGAAAATAATTACTACAATGTCTTGCGTATACGAAAAAAAAATGGTTGTTTTTTATTGACTAAGTGAATCAAAATAGAAAGAAAACTTTGTACTCGCATTGATTTATTCACCCATAAAAGAGTATTACAAGTGACTTTATCATCTAAAAATTAGTATTTTCATCGCTGTAATAATTTGTGCATACACGCAATTATATTTCGCCTTTATCGACTTGACAGTCAGCTCCTTATTGGATCAGGTTTATGGAATGTTAAACATCTTATCTTACTGCGTAAAATAGTCAATGTCTCATCGAATTCACGTGGTAGTCACTGTATTCTTTTTACGTTTAACATAATTCTTTTTATCTGTGCGTCGTTTCATTAGAAATTGATTTTTCTTTTAATTTCTTAATTTAAAAGGATTTGCGTGTGTTCGTTCCAATACGTCAAGGTAGTATTTACTGGCCACCTGGTTATCAGCCAATGCTTGTATGTCGTGTAGGCATACCTGGATTAAGCTTTGAATCAAATACTAAAACTACTACTGATCCTGCCGCTTCATGTCTTATCCCACCTCCGTCTATTACAGCTATAAGTATGAATTCAGCGTTTGGCTTGTAAGTTTACTTTTTTTCATACGTTCGAGGAGAAAGTGATGCTTTAATACATAACTCCTAAAATATTTATTATTCGTTAAAAGGAGTAGAAAACTGCTTGATATGTTTGATAAATATAGAATTTTTGTTGATTAAATAATGAGTATATTGTGATTGATATGCTTATGTAGTTTACTGATGATGATTTCTTCTCGTTTATTCTTTTGATGTGTACCTTGCGAGCTTTCAAACTCTTCAATTCAATGTTTTGATTATGTCGTTCACATCATATTGAAACTTTATTTCTAGTATGACGCTTTGAATATTGTTCTGTCCATACAGATTATTCGATAAATAAAGTGATGCAGTTTTTTTAATGGTTCTTGTCACACAAGTATATGAACCAATCCTACCAAGTTAACACAAATCACGTATTTGGTGACTGTTTTTTTTTTGACGATTGCTATGCCCGTGACAGCTTTTATTTTAACTTCATATACCTTTATACAACTGTATTCTTGATGTACAGTGTTGCTCATAGTAGCTACCAGTTGTAATGCTAAAGGGTAGAGCCACACACTTTTTTTAGCTCCTACTGACGCGTTTTAAATTGCCAATCTTTTCTTACGTATTCAATGAGTAGTGTAAAAAAAGTGAAGTATGCACTTAAGATATTGTCTTGTAAGACAGTGGAAACTTCGTAACTGAAACATCCTGTTCAGAAGACATAACTACACTTTTGCTACAAATTTTCTTCATATCTTGGACATCATAAACCTTACTTTTTCAGTTATGTAGAAGATATATATATATATATATATATATATATATATATATATATATATAAGCTAATAAGACTTTCGTTACTGCCTAAATAACCAGAAACTTCGCACCTAGTCTGTTATTCTTTTCTCTTAACTTGCTTTGTATGCAACCTTCCTGGCTAGTGAGAGTGGAAAACATGAAAATGCTAGTTGTCTTTGACCGTAGGTGCTTGCGTTCTGTCTCCCGTGTGAAATGGTATAATATGGTGAGCCATATTGAGGTTAGGCATCAGTCGAGTGCTAGGTTAGGAGGGGAAATCAATCGACGAGGCCGTGAAGTTACATCGACTGAGATGGTTAGGACATGTGTTGCTTATGCCTAGCCGTCGATCACCTTCCTCGACTGACGGGCAATGCTAGCTGACATAGGGTTAGGTTGGAAAAGAGCTAGTGGTTGTCAAACCAAAGCATGGCCTCATCAGTCAATAAAATCCACAACAGTTAGTTTAAGCCAGCTATGTAGGAAGATATAGACTTCCTGGTTAGGGTCTTCGGTGTGGTAAACACAAATGGTTGGAGACAATTGGTGATATGGCTCAAAATCGTTCTCAGTGCCTGATGCAGGTGTATCCGCTCCTTGTGACCTATAATACCGAATAAAACTATATTGTTCCTCGATATTATTATTCTTTTTGCCTCATATCCCAGTCTACTATCTGTATTATGTTGCTTTGTGTGCTGAGGGAAGTGTGGCGACTTGAACTGCTGCACATCAGTGCAATGTTCTATGTCGAAAACAGACAGACCGTATACAACCTTCGTGAGAAAGGGTGGCAAAGTAACTAATATGTATATTATTGTTTATTTTTGTTCCCTCTACAGAATGGCTATTGGAAGTGAATTCGGTATTGCTGTTATTGACTTTGTCCATAGGCTTTGCTTAGTGTCTGTTTCTTCGTCTGATATATTGAGTAAGTGCTTTTCTTTTTTTATCTTTTCTGTATATAAAGGAAAATACACTGGTTATTTAAGCATAACTTTTCATTCGCTTGAATAATTTTTTTCTTTTCTCTTTCTTCTCCTGATGTAATTAAAATTTTATAGCCAGTTGGGCTCATTCTTGTTATTTTTGTTATTGTCGTTATTGAAAGTTTGTCATTTTATCAAAAAAAAACGACTAAAATTAAGTTATATTAACAGTGTAAACTGCAGTATTGTAAAATGGACAATAGAATTTAGTTCTCTTAAGAAAAAAAATTTAATATTCACCCTGATTTCAGCTAATTCATCAACTGTAAATGTTAAGCTTTCTCTCCACATTTCAATTGTGCTCCAGATAACAAACATTAACTAGGGAGAATTCTGGATTTTACCTTTATTTTTTTGTTTGTTTATTTGTATTTTAGGATAGTATCATTATTATTTTCCCATTTTGATGTTATTTTTTTTTATCAACCATTAATAAGTGAAGGGTTTTCATTGACCGATTCAAAAAAGCTTAGTGTAGTTTGCACGTGAATTAATAAGGAGCATCTATTTTATTTTTGTTTTCGTAAAAATGTGAATTCAAGTCTTTTCAAATGATAAAGTTGAATGAGAGACATTTTATTAAGCAGGAAGATTAGGTCTAATTCATAATTGTGACTGTCATCACTACACAACTTGAGACAACAGCAACTGTTGGCAGTCGCCACACTGACACTATTCCTTAATAAGCTGTGTCATATTATGCATTACGTAAAAAAATCGCCAAAGTTATGGAATTCTGAAACACTGAATGACTTATATAGATCAAGCTACACATGCAGTACTAGGTCAGAAAGACACTCTTTACTCTGAATTCAGTGTGGTTATATACCACCATCCTTATCAAAATAAGATTCGAATTTGTCAACATTAATGCTAATGCCAATAAACCATTTCCAACAGCTACCCTCACTTGCTCTGTATTGAAGATTAGATATCTAGGAGGGATTACCGACTAGGAATTCTGGGAACAAACCAACCAAAAACCTGTTGCTGAGTGAAATGGAGATAGACTTGACAGATTCTGAGGAGACCCTTGAGTTGCATCGTTTGCCACACCCTTGAGTTGAACTCGAATGGGGAACGGCGAGTTAGGTGACTGACAATGACAAAGTAACTCGTATTAGGAAGAGACGATAGCCTATGGGCAGTCATGAAGCTAGCTGGATAGGACTGCAGAGAACAGGATGAAATGGAGATATGCTAATGAAGCCCAACGCTCCACTCAGATCTCAACATAAAGTCAATAAATGTTTTGTAAAAAATTACTGGATTATATGAAGACACACTCAAAAAATAGTAATATCACAGTTTTATTCACTAAGCACAACGACTGTTTACACCTAAGAAAGCATACAAAATAGTCTTGAATTGAGTGCTCTCTCATTGCTTTGTGAGGAGTCTAAAACTAGTTTTTGCGTAAGTTAGTTATCATTAATTTTAACTTATGTAGTGTACGAGGATTGCATTTTCCAGATACTTGCAGATATATGAGTCTTTGTTAAGTCAAATAAAAACATTTTGAAGGAATCGGATTGTGTTAATGTTTACAAGTGTGCTGTACTTAGTGTCGGACAGTAGTGGGAGAATTTAGAAGGGATATGTTATAGCATTTGATTTATCGCGGTATGTGGTGTTAGAAGTTTTTCAAAAAAGAAATGTAAAGGTATAATTTACCTTTTTCCTAAAATAGTTGTTTTAGTTACTTCAGGAAAGAATAAGTTGGTAGTGTGTACATTTACCGTCATAAACCTGGCTAACTTATGCCGGCAGAGTTAGATGTTGTAAAGCTTCAAAGTCAAACAACAACATATCCTGTTTATAAACGTTATGTTGGATAGCGAAGCAACAAAGAAAGCCTAATGAAAATAATACATGTAGTCAATAGTAGCGAAATTACGTCTAACTAATTCTTGCTATCTATTCTATGTATTGCTGTCTCTGTTTTTTCTGGCTTGTTCAAAGTATAAGCATTTCTATTTTCAACTGTCCTTTTTCTTCGTATATTATTCATTACTTTTGCATTAAAATTTCACATTCAGATTTGTTTCCTACCTCATTAATTATTAAGATGTGATACTCTCAATTTTATTCAATCAAGATACAAAAATTGTTGCACTTCGTTGTAGGCCTTCTTTTCAGCTTATTTCTGTAGACGTCTTTTTCATCTTACAGATTCATTAAACCTTAATTATTCTCTATCTCATTATTCTTACTGCTGGACATTTCCTTCTACTCTAATTTCATTACATTTCATTTCTGTTTCTTTATTTGTACATTTACGAAGTGCAACGATTTGAAGTGATACACTTCTATTGCAGAGACGAAGTACTACAGTCCTACTGTTTTCTTAGCATATTATTAGTCGTAATAAGAAGTTAAAGTTTGGAGAAACTTGGATCGTATCAGCATTACTTCTACAGCTCAGTCATCAAGGCATTACGTTGCATCTCTTATTAATGGTATCAGAGTTGAAATCACTTATTATGCCTCGTTGTGTTATTTGTTTGACCGTTGGTAGATCAACGTTAAAGTCTCACTATATGCGAATCGGATTCATCAGTTTCATTTTGAAAAATAACACAAAGATCGAGGATGAAAATTTATTCATGAAACAGTGGATGAACATGTGTAGCAGAGAGAATAATTCAGTCAAGACCATTAAAGATATTCAACTTAACCATGGTCAAGTGTGGTGTACCGTATTTATTTCACTATGAAAATCTAGGATGTTAGTTACTTTACCCATACAACTGCTCCATTTAGTGGTTATCACTAAAATATTTGTACCTTTATTATAGTCAGCGATGAATAAAATTCTACACTGTTTTGGTGAAACTGTCTTGAATTTCCACACACACAAAGTAATACATTTGTTAATTTTGTTAAGAAATTATCACTTACATAGTTATTCACCTCTGAAGTCATGCCATTATATCCTGTTTCACCGCCTCGTTTTAAATTAGGGACAAACATTTATTAATTCGCTTAGATACGGTGTTGAATTTGGTTATTACGTATCTACAGTCAATCTGCTCCCTGAAGGCTGTTGTGCTTCAATTAAGTAGTTTAATATACGAATTTACTGTAGCTGTATTCTTCTTAAAGTCTGTCTTACTCCGCTGAACTAAGGATCTATCTCCATATTGCTGATGCATCTTGTGTCTCCTTTTCGTAATCGACCATTGTCTGTGGTCATAGCAAGGACTCTTAGTCAGCAACTCACACTTCAGGTCCAGTTGGAAGAGTTATACATATATACTTGTGATTCAGAAGTAGAAGTAACCTTCCACTAATCCCCTCTATTATTATTATTATTTGTCCCTTTGATTCCTAGTGAGACATGGGACTTCAACAGTACCTCTCCATTTCCTTCTGTTCTCTGCTGTCGTCATTTTTAAAAACTGGTTTCATGATCGCCCATAAGTTTTCATTCTATCACATGGTCTCCTACATGTCACCCTGGGACGCTCACGTTTTTCTGTTTCTTAGAATAATTACTCATACTTTTTATAGCTGTTTAATGCAAGAACATAAAATAAATTTTTGTTGATATTACTGGTCATTCATTGGCTTCTCGTACCATCTGTTAATGGATGGATGAATGAATGTTCACCGTTTACCTGATTGTACGGTATACGTGTTGTAAGAAATAGAATTAGAAATTGTTTCCTCTTAGTGTTAATTTTGTTCTACTTTCAGTAGTTAATAATATCACATGCAGGTATGTTTATACATTCTTTTATAACCTATTTTTTTTAATGTCAATTAATCGCTGACTTTTTGAATATTAATTATCACTTTTCAGGTCGAGGGCCTGTTAATCCGTTTGCATCGACTGGTGCAAATGAAGTGAAATTTAGTGACCAGGTAATTGTGGAAATTTTATTTTTTATAGTTTTATGCTTTTACTCTATGAAATGGATTTCGATACTCCATTTCCTTTTCTAGTATTTTAGATACTCGAAATTCGAATGTACCACAGAATCACTGTTAAATGTACCTAGTAGTTATTATGTTTATGTGTGGAGTTTGTCTGCTTACTAGTGAAAACGCATCTTACCACAGATCATTTCACTAATTAAATCTGTGTTCATGAAATAGCTGAATATTATTTTAGTAGAATCACTTCTGTTTGAAACCTTCACAACACATATTCGCATCCACGGTTGGTAATGTTTGCATTCACGAAGTATACCCATTTACTCACTGATAGGGAAAAGAACAGTTTTCTTCAGCGAAAAACTATTCCTTTCTTTTGAGTGACTTCCTTTTCAAGCTGTACATTCTTATATATAAATATATGACGGATAAAAGCGTTAAGTGGCATAATAAATTACTCAGTCATTATTGCATACAATAAGAATAAAGATAATTATTATGATTTCAAAGGGGTAGAGTCGAAACGGATGAATAACAAAGTTTTAAAAGATTATCAAATTAATGAACTGGTGTTACCAGTTTTGGAGTAGATCAAGTGTTGTCAAAAATTTAAAATTATGATCGTGGTGAGTCGGTGGCACAACGGTTATTACTCATGGTCCGGAGTTCGATCCCCTGCTAACGCACACCTGATATCTACGGTTGGCCTGCAAAGTTTGAGCTACCGATATCACATGCTGAGAATTCCATACTTGTACCGAAAATACTGTGTGAAATCAAAAAAATAAATAAACATAAATATAAAAAAATAATGAAGGCGAAGATAAAGTGAATTGGAATGCATGAATCCCTGTTCATTGAATTATAACATTGAAACTGAATGTATTGCCTTGAAGCTGATCGCTGTAACAAGCCTAACTGAGGTCTTCATTTTGAAACTAATACTGACTGTTGTAAAAAAGAAACGAGAGCATAACTACTGAACAGCGGAAAGTACACAAAGGAGAAACTGTGAATTAAATGCTTTAGAATGATGATAGTGGTATTCAACGGTGCGAACTGTTTCAACGCATATACTAACAATCTTTAAATTGGTCACGTTAAATTTGCCAAGGTATAACTGGAAATATAAATATATGTTTAGTAATATGAATTTATACTACTTTTGTTACTAATCTCAAAACAGTTTCTTTCTATGACGTAAATACGATATGCTCATAAACATTTTCATGGTAACCACGTTGTTTTCTGCAGTAAAACTCATTTTAGTCTATCTTTTCTCTTTTTTAATCACTTCTATGGTTTGAATTAAAGTTGCCTGGTTAATTTCGAGATAGGGAATGGATATTTTTTTTCTGCCTTAGATTTGTCAGAAGATAATGATGAATAAAATCATTTCTTCCTAATTAAATTTCTTCTTTTTCTTACTGCTAAATTATATGTGGAAAAATTAAACAGCTAATTGAGTTTTATCTACTCACTAAATCTCTTATCGATAGACGTCGAATAGCATTTAGAACCAGACGTATACTTTGCTTAGTAGCATATATACTTTAGTTACAAGTCTCTAACCATTTGATATATATATATATATATATATATATATATATATATATATATATATAATTCAGTCTTATGGGTGGTCAGTCGTAATCTGAATAACATTACGTGAATAGTTGGAAACCAGTAACTTCAACCAGTAGTGGTTGTTAGTAAATTGGAACACCGGACGGTGATTTGACTTTGAGCCTTTCTGCAGTTCACCCGTTAAGACTCTGTTCAGAGAACGGAATCAGATTATTATCAGTTGCATATAACATCGTGTTGTTTTCCTTGTCATATTGGTGTAAATATTTACGGCATCAGGGTCACATGTACTATTGTCTAAAGTAATTTGTAAATGACAGATTTAATTTTCTTTAACCTGGCTATACTGGGACATAAAACACAGCTAGCTATGCAGCTTGGTAAGAACGTGGCATTTCTCAAAGTTGTGGATACATCTTGCTAAGAACTTAAAACACGATCTCCTCACTCCTTATTTTTAAACTTTAATGCCACTGAGCTCAAATTCATTTCAATCATACTTAATTTTCGTTTGTCTCTTGTGTTAGATATTATGGCTTATTGAGGTTCATTGCTCTTAACCCTTTTAAAGCTAACTTTTATTTCAGCATATCCTAAAACGAATCCTCATTAAATGATATTATGCACTCAAGATAGAAATCTCTCTCTGCTTCGTACTTATTGTTTTTATGTGTTGCTGTTGTATCATATAGCATATATAATACCTTTTTATATTTATGTGAATTAGTTTGACTTTAGATAGTCTTTAATATGTTGTGTTTTTCTTATGGCAGCATGAATATATGCCTATTGTTTCAAGTGTTTCATACTATCTTTAGTATTGTTGTCTAAACATGTTGTTTGATTTCAAGTATCCTTTCAATGTTGTTATTACTTCCGGTTAAATCATAGTGTTTCAGTCTGAAGCCAATTATATCCTGTGACAGTTCATCTTTTGTGATATTGAATTCGGCTGTTGAACATAGTCATCTTATGGCAGATCCATCTATAAGTCGTCATCATCATCACCATCGTGATTCTACTGACACTTTCAAACATAAATTTTTTGGACATAAAAAGAAACAGTTTATGCCTACTTCCTGTAGCCCTGGTACGAGTCACTCGCCATCTTTGGACAATTCAAGATTAACTTCTTCAAATACAACTCATTCTATTCGTAAATATGATCGATTGCTTTCTTGTCCAACAGTCACATCTGCACACGGTAGATTAAATGATACTGCAGTACCTAATGCACTGAAAGTCACCGGTAATGATCTTGAAGATGACGATATCCTAACTCGACCATACGATAAATTGACAAAGAATAATCATCAACATCGAATTCCAATTCTTCATAATAATCATAATCATGAACCTTGTAGGCGGCGTATGCATCATGAGTCTGCCAGTCAGTTGAAAACGTTTAGTCCTCTGATGACTGCTTGTGAGTGAGTTCTGTATTATCACTTGAGTTATTTACTACTACTAACTATGGCATGATATCCATTTTTTTTTTCAATTCAGCATTCAATGTACAATTCCATGTTTGTGTGTTTCACTGTTGTGTTGTCTTGCATACAATTTCTTAGTGATAATTATCCTTTCATTGTATTCTGTTACTACTGTTCTTTTTTTAATGTTTACGCCTACTAACAGCTTTATCACATTTACTTGAACTGTTCGCTTCATCTATGCATATTGGTTAACTATATATATATATATATATATATATATATATATATATATATATTACTTATTTCCCTTTTCCTCTTATATTAATGTTACCTGTGAATTAACAGAATAATTGTTCAGGTGGTTCAACTTCACTAGCTAACACAAATAGTCCGAATACTCAGTCCACCTTGAAAACCACTCATTCAATCTCAGATGCTGTCCAATCCAGTGAATCGTCTGTTAGCACTTATGCAACGCGACATGTGCTAACAAGAGCTACAGCTGTCAAGGGTGAACTGAAGCGTGCAAAGTCTCAAGGTCGGTTGGTTGATTCATATATATGCATAGTAAAACCATTCCATTGTTTACGCTTGTTATTTACTTCTCAGACCTTGTTTTTTTTATTTTTCATCTTTCTTTGGGTATGTAAATCATGTCTACCTTACTTCTAGTTTATATTCCAATCTCAGGGACAATTGCAGTAACTATGAGAAATGGTATTATCTCATAATTACTAAGTGATTTGATTGATTTTTTCGTTTTGAGAATCACTTAATTCAGTATTTGCATTTTTATGGAAATATTTAACATGCTAACACAGTGATGCTTACTGATGATAATTCACAATTAGGCAGATAATTAACACACAAATGACTTTCTATAGCTTTATGGAGAAAATGTTTTAGATACCTGTTCGGTGTATTAACCATCTTGTCTGTCACAAGAGAATTTTGCTTTTAGGTTAATCAAATGTATCAGTTAATTACTCACGTAAGATATATATATATATATATATATATATATATATATATATATATATATATATATATATATATATATATATATATATATATATATATATATGTCTTCATGCTTATTTCATCTATTCGATGTGCTCAAATCCGTATAACCCACTGATTGTCATTATGCTGCAATATCATAATACTTATCAATGTTTTCATTAAATTTCATTTTCCGCATCGCTGACCATCTCATCCTCGACTTTAAATCTCAGTTAGTCCGTCAATTCTGTGTGCAAGTGAATCTCACTTGGATTAAAGCTGAAAACCGCTTTCATTGATTAGTCTTCAGAATAATACTTACACCTGAATTCACAGTTGTTTACAGACTGTGTAAACTCTATCGATTGCTTTCAAAAGAACGCTTAACTTTCTCACCTGATGACCTTCATTGTTTCGATGAAATTCGGGTGTAGTACACTCGTGTTAACTGTAGGTGTTTTGTTCACTTCTCTTTGTATGTAAGCATTCAGCAGAACAACAGACATTTTCACTGCTAGGTGGTAGATGATTTTTACCATTCTGTAGATATATATATATATGCTTTGCTTCAGATTTTGAAGATGAAAATAATAAGTGATTTTCCTGAACAAAGATGTGCGTATTTCCTTCTGTACTTTTAAACTAGCATCATTAACTAAAGAGTTGGGGTTTTAAAATAGAATTTATATTTTGATACAACACACACACATACACTGATAGTGTTAATTACTGGATGACGTTTCAAGCACAATTTATTGTTTATATAATCTTGTCAGAATACAGAATATCAGCGCGTTATTTGTTTACGGAACGTACTCAGCATAAAATACCACTTTTGCAGGGGAAGTTATCCACTTCATCATGCTACTGTAAATCACTTTAGTTATTTCACTTGATTGAGCTTTTTCTCATTTCTTTTGTATAATTACATCAGTTTATCCTTCATTTCGTCAAATTAGATTGACATTGTCAACATCATGATAAATTTTGACAAAGTCTCAAACTCCCAACACCTAAATTTGATTGATGTGTATTCACACTTAGCTTGAAATCTGTCTCGTAGTATTATATATTTCATTTTGCTAATTCAAATCAATGCATATCATCATGCATTCACCGGGTAAGTAGAGGACATCAATCATCTCCCAGTCCCAATTTTTATTGATCTTTCACCACTAATGTTGTCCGGACTATTGTGTTTACGACAATTACCTGGTATCATTTATGGGCAGAAAATGTAAAGAATGCACTTAGTTAGTCAGTAAGAATTAGCAGTAGACGTAGAAGATATAAATCTGTTGACCGTCAAATTTAGTTTAGTTTATTTGCCTTATCTCTTGATTTCTATTCGATTCCAACACCACTGGCATACACAGCAAGTGATAATTTTTACGTGATGCGTTTGGCCTAATCAATTATTACAATTCAAGTTAATCTATTTAAGCTTTATATATCCTAGTACATGTTTCCAAAGTTTTGCAAGAGGGCTATTCACACAGTATACATGTGTGTTGGGCTTACAACAATATGATTAATCTCAACATAAGTTAACGACGTAAACTAAATTTTTATATCTTAGTGGTTTCTGCTTGATAGGATCTTCTACTCACCCGATTATTTCGTGTAGTATTTGAGCGAAAAATAGGTCATTTCTTTATTATGTCATTGGAACTTTCAGAGTGACTGAAATCAACATTAAGTTCCCTGTGATTCAGTTGTGACTTGTATTTAGAAGAGTGATTACCTCCTGATTGCACTTGAAACAGTAAATAAAGCTGTTTTAAAGGCAAATAAACAATACATTAAAGTGAATTTATTGTATTTTAAGGTATAGTTCTGTTAATTCTTCTCAAATAAGAATATTTCTGACACGAAAGTAATGTTTCATCGCTTACAGTGTAATTATTAGCAGTCTAATCGCTTGATCTATTATATGTCCATCCATTCCTAATAGTGGTGCTGGCCTGTCGAACAAACCAACCACCTCGTCAACAAGGACAGACGTCTTATGCGCAAAATCCTTCCTCAGGTTGTCCAGTTTTTACTGTATTCTTTATGGGTTTACGTGGTTGTGATTTCGACTGTGTGTTCATGTGTGGGTGTGGGTGTGATTAGTTTATACTCCTCTTTGTAATGCAGCTTTTAATTCTTTCCAGAGGTGTTCTTATTTCATAACGATTGCTTTGAACTTGGCTATCTATTATAACCCAGTTATTAGATGCAGTAATAACCTCCGTGCCTTGTTTATTTATTTATTATTTTTTTTGGTTAACATTTTTAAAATTCATTTTCTTCCATCACTTCATGGTTTGCTAATTACACGTGTTTAAATTTTTATCTTGTGTATGTGCGTGTGTAAAGTGTAAAAGATTAAGAGGACAGGGTGACTATATATCTTATATGGATTATTAATTATTATTTTTATTATGAATCTTTTCCCATCTTCTAGATTGCATGATCTGTTTTTTTTTTAGTACAACTAACCAGTGTACATATAAATGTCCTAACCATTGTTATATTGTCTCTTGGCTGTGGGTGCTATTTTACACGTTCCCTTTTATTTTCATTTCTTACCCTATAATCATTTTTGAAGATCAGACTCTGCAGTGTCTTAACGTGCTGATCATCTGCAACCGCTCCATATGTAATGAAACGAATAATGATGGATTATTGAACAATAAGAGGATAAAACATCACTAATGCAATAACCCATAAGTGGTTTTTAGAGGCTGGAAAGTGAATTAACTTAATAGTCAATAAGTCAATGAAAGTAACAACCTGAAATTCAATACTGTAATTGTTATTCGACTTGTTAAGTGTGAAGATGACGAAATACAGTGAATGCACAAAAGTGATATGTTAACAGGGGTAGTTGGAAATGCTTTTACAAAGGAAATTAATGACATGACAGAGTGATAGGTTGAATATTTTATTCCACAAGGATTTCTGTCTTGAGTCGGGTAAATATTAGCGCCAACAGCACGCACTAGCTAGCTAAATGTTTTTTAACGGCCATCTAGAAGCAAAATCAAAGTTGTGAAAGAAAAGACCTACGTTGATAGTGTTTAAGTTGGATATCTTGTGGCATGCAGTTCTCAAATTCACTTTATGCAATTGTCCAAGTTTCTGTTTAAACTTATCAGATTAATAAAGTAGGAGACAAATAATAGTACCAATTAGAATCCGTCGCCTCATCTTCTCCCTATGTGTAGCTCCATCGATTTGTTTATATCATAGCTATTATAGTTTGGTTTTCATTGAACCAGCTAGTTTTTGTACTATGATCATCAGGTGTATAGTGCGGATCCTGTTTCTTTTATCTTAAAGATCTTCTTTCAAAGCTGATATCAGTATTATTTAAAAGATGATCGATTAATAAAACTTAAGACAGTCATTCTGTATTAAAGCTGTGATCATAGTCGACGTACGCAAACACGGAATGGCTGATTTCTTGATGTGGAAATCTAAGCTGAAATACATCACCTAATGCTGTCACACTTCGTAAAAGCAGGCTTGATTTAAGAAGCCAATAAATCAGTTACACTCCAACGGACATATATAAGCATGTAAAAGAAACTAATTGAGTAAAGTCACTTAGAATCTGGAACGTGCTAAGAAATGAAACTATGTGCTTAATGTGAACACGATTGAGCCATTCCACTGTGATTTTCCAACAGTTGATTCATTACATCTTGGGAAACTCAGTTAAGCAGTCTTCAACTATCTGCCTGCCCACATGGTTCAGACTGCACACATAATAATTGGAATATGTACTCGATAGGATAGAATCGTAATAATAATAATGATAAAGTGATCGTATTTTCAACCGATTTTCAAATTTTACTTAGCTCTTTTCCTTAAAATTTCTTTCAGTTTTTTTTTCTACCATCTGTAAGTTGCTTCTCACATTATTAAGCCTTATGTATTCTCAATTATTAAAGCACTGTAGAAAATAATACCATTATCACTGGGAGGCTTTTAAATTACTACCTCTACAGGAATTTTATCGTGGTATCCATTCTCACTGTTCCTTTCCATGTGCAACTGCTGTATTGACGTGAAATGATGAATCATGTTAAGTTTGTATTCCTACTAAATTATCAAGCAGATCAAGTGTTTCACCGATGTAGAATTGAAGTACACAGAATAAATTTAAGGGACAAAACAAACAGATTTCTCTGATTCGTAGATTCTGTCCTGCAAACAATCTAGAATTCATTAGCATTGAAAGGAGGATTTTTGTTCTCACTACTTGTAGTGCTTACTTTAAATTGTGAAGGAAAAGTATTCACCGATTTGATTCTTATCATCTCTTCAATACTAAGAAAGCTTGAAGGCTTTTTAGGTGCCAGTCAGAACGAACACTTGTCATTTTACTTGACAGAAGCGGTTAGCATCTCGACGCATACTGAAGCAGTTCAGTGTGTTTCACTCTCTAGTCTCCAAGTAATCAACCGTATTAGCGTCTATAGTTTGCGTTTTATTGAGAAGTGAACAGGATGTTTATAATTTTCACCTTTTGATTTGATTCTTATAGTTTCTTTACCTTTTCCACTTTTGAACTGTTGCTTCCCTCGATTTAAACATATATGTTGGAGCATTTCTCTTATTCCTTATGTGTTATTCGTAATATCTTACAATTTTCTTTTAAACTAATCTAACTAGCTTTCAGTTGCTTACAATACTCTAATATGTTTGTCTTTCAGGATTTCATCATGAGCTGACATTAGTTAGAGAACCATTGGAAAACCTGGGAGTACTGGACAGCTGTTTCGTCCTAGTTTGGGACTCTTCAGCAGTACGCGGTGGGTGCGTACTGATGAAGAGTCCCAAACTAGGACGAAACAGCTGTCCAGTACTCCCAGGTTTTCCAATGGTTCTCTAACTAATGTCAGCTCATGATGAAATCCTGAAACCAATCAAATCCCTACAAACCAACACTTGAATGTTTGTCTTTCCTAACTATATATGACTGTGTGCGTTCGCGTGCCGTTTCTTAAATCTTTTATCACTGAGGTGAATTCGAGTTTTTGTTTTCTTTTTTTTCAGTATAAACAGTGTATACAAACGTGTTTTTTTAATCATCTTCTTATAGTCGTATCCTATACAAAAGCCCGTGTGGTATATATCATGTATAAGCACATATAACCCTCAGTACTGGCACTTTCTCTCTCTCTCTCTCTCACTAGGGCATGTCTCTCTGTCTTTCTTACCCGGTCTCCCTTCTAGTCCGATGAAATAGTTGGTGATATAAAACAGAATGGTTGCTTGTGGGTGCTTTACATTTTTTGTTTAAAGACATTATTCGCCTACTTTTGACATTTGAAAAGAGCATACTACTTATCCCTGCATATATAAGCTTATAACACCTGTGTATTAATATTTTTTCCGTGAACTTACATATCTTATGCTTTTTTTCTGAAGATATTCTTACATGCTCTCATCACGTGTTTTGCATTAATGAAGTAGGTGTCATCACTGTACATATCAATAACCGTCATTACTAACCTGAACTTTTATGACCAATACTGTTTTATTTATTTTTTTTTCTGGTTTATTTGTTTATCTGTCACAGAAAAATGCTCTGATCTTGCACAGTTTTCTCATCCAGGTAGCTTAAGCACCAGCACTAACTCGTTGGACAATTTAAGTTGTGAAGCAATTAAAACAATTCTGTTTACTGAATGGTCGTCTTCTAAACAAGGTATGTTCCGTTTACTGATAATTTTGCTCATCAATTATGCATACATAGCATGTACATGATCATTGAGTGAAAACTGATATTAATCAGAAAATGTAATGTGTGCTCCTCTCTATAGACTGTTTAGTTGACTTTATTTCGCTAAGCAAAACTTGATTTCAACAATAAGCGACATAGTTTTCTTTAATTAGAAGTTCCTAGAGTCTGATTTATTGGTATACTAAAGTTATTTTCGTCTAGAAATGTTCATCTAATATCCAACGATCATTTTTAACTTCATATTGAAGTATACGTATCTCAGTTGTAGGAAATGCTACCTTAAAGTATCAGAAAACAATCACACCCATAATTAGCGTGTTGATACAGAACTCACATGAACAGTTGAACATGGAATTTTCTTTGGAACCATGAAGTCTGAAGTAACAACCATCCCATAGTGTTTGGGAGATTTTGGCTTAGTTAAGATCTTCTGGGAAATGAATTTGTCAGATCACCACCCTAAATTAACCAGTAACAACATCTAGTTATCACATTATGTCGTAACTGTTTAAGAATATCTCTTTCAACCAGTCATCTGAAATCCCCCCCCCGCCTTGAACAACGTTTTGCACTCCTGTTCACTCTTCACTGCGCTCCAAGCATAATTTTCCAAAGTTATTTTTACTGTTCCTATTACTATTTGTTTTTTATAAGCGTATAGTTCTACTTTTTTTTCGCAAGGTGATTGATTGGTAGTTTGTTTTAAATTAGAAGGCAAAACACTAACCTTATCTACCAATGCTGAAATGAAGTCCACACTTCTTAGCTGTCATTCTGTTGTTTTCTTCTTCTCCCTTCCCTCATAAAAAAAATGAAAGTATCAGTGAAGAAAAACTCCTAGCTGAATCTTTTCTGTTTGTCAGTCCTGTTTTGAAGAGAAAATTTGTTTTTCAGTGTATTATTAGGTGGATCAGGGAGAGGTTCACAGTTTACCTTCTTCTTTTAAGATTATCGGTTATGGTCGCGTCATTTGATTGTACAATTGTGTCAGACTATGTCCTGTTGCTTGTTTTCTTCTTATCCAGTAGTTTCGCTTGTATCACCAGTTACAATACTGTTTAAAAATAGATTATGAAAGTCTACTACTGTTTACACACACACATATACCTCGTAAATGTGTAATCAGCTCCTTTATTAGGCTTTACAACCATCTTTTCTCTTCACGTTTTAAAAGCTTGTGAATTAAATATTTCTTTCCTTGCCTCAATTCGACAGAAGCATTCGTCACGTGTATCTGTCTAGTGGTCGTCGTAACCAAACTGGTGGTATTATTTCTGAAATGTGGAACTGAATATGGATAATTTAGTTGTTGCATACATATGAAACTCAAAACTACTGGCAGATAGCAGTTATGAAAACGAAAGTGCATGATTAAAAAGGAGTTCAGAAATTCAGAAAAATAGATTGTGTATATAGTGTATATTTGTATAACTAAATCTGTATAATTTTTTTAACCGATTTTAGACCAGTATAATGGGCCGAATATATGGATCGGCACCTCTCGTGGCTGTGTTGTTGTTTTAAATCTGAAGTATCGAGTTTTGAATAGTACTCCAATAAGTCAATCCTACAATGTTGGTGAGTCTGTAATATTATTCACTGTTTGTATGTTTGTTTAACTTTTTTAAAGAAAATCGATAATAACGTTCACTTGTGATTAGAAATGATCAAAGTCTCATGTTGAAAAGTCTGTTAAACTCTCTGTTTTTCTGTGTAGTTTTTAGGAAACATGGTTAACTTTAAGTTAGATTGATTTCTGATGTCTCAACTCTTGACGCAAAATCGCATAAATCTATGCATTATATTTATTATCATCGGTAAATCATACTAGTTCTCCAAACCAGTTGTGACATTCACGACGCCACCGAATCCGCATGCGTTAAGAGGCTTAATCACAAGTCCATCAAGTAATTGAAAACCTTAGACACATGTCATCATGACATCTTATAAAACTCTTGTAAAACATCCGCAAATTTTACTTTAAAGCTTTCAGATGAAATCTTTAAATTGTAAGGCAATAACACTCAGTGTTCACTGTGTCGATGGGAATCTGAATATATATATATATATATATATATATATCTTTCACTGGTGTGGCTGCTTAATTTTTGACATTGTCACTGTGTTAATAGTCAGCGCAGGTGTTTTTTTCTACAGAAGGTATTGTGTTATCAGTGTTTAAGCGAAGAAATTTTCTTCGATAAGTTCTAATTACACCAACCTCTGTGAACTCAAGGAGTGAAAACAGAGGATAATTGGCAACAAAGAATACTCTAATAAGTATATTAGTTAGTGGGAAAATCTCATTACCGAAACTGACTAAAAAGAGTAATGAAGCATAATTGTCACTCGCTTATTTTGTGTTACAACGTTGGGTTTTGACTTTAGAAATGAGAAAACACACTTAGACTGTTGTCTGAGCTTCTGTCCAGTCAGCCGATCGTGACTTGCAGAATACTTCATGAACCCCAAGTATATGGGAATGATGAACCTTCGAGTGGAGAAGTGAAGGATATGCGGCTAATGTCAAGTTGTACATCTGTTAGGCTGAGACATCTGCGCTTTACTGAACAGAACTTTACACAACGCCGGGTATTATAGTATTCCGACCAAAATCGCAATATATCGTGACAAAAATACATCAAGAACTCGAGTATGCTAGCTCACGTAAGACAAAAGCTGGTCTTTAGCATCATTTTTGGTGACCATTGTTACACTGTGATGTTGAGGAGACCTTCATAACTTTTGACATCTGTTCAATGCATCAAACCAAAATCCCATAGGACCACGCACGCGGATGATGCCGGTACCAACGCTAGGACTGCACTAACCTGTCGTAAGTGACGTTATGCGACCACGATTACCAGCAACAAAATATGATAGTCGACATATTCTTTTCATAGTCGATTATTTTATAGAATGGTCTGACATTCTAGTGTAATTAAAACATTCACTTCGGCCATAAGAATGAATAACTACTATAGATTGAATTAATATCTGGTTATTTTGCGTTGACACCTATTTGTATTTTCAATACAGACTACGGTGGTTTCCCTATGCCATCATATACTTTAATTTCAGCAATATTCGAGTTTCGTTTACTCTAGAATCATGTGAATTTTTTAGCTTTTTATATTGTTTCCCTTCGCAAATGAGTAGACATGATAAATTTGTTTTTTTTTTCCATAACACTGATTAACATTTTGAAATCAACTCTTTCCACTTAATAAACGCTTTCACTCTTTGCGTCATCAGGCGAAAAATAAAAGGAGGGGGTTTAAATTTTTGTGTGCATATATATATATATATATGCACGAGTCGGGAGATAGAAATACCCTCATTTCACCTCATACGCGTTATCGGAATAATGAACTCTATCAGTGATTTTCCTTCAAACAATTATCTACCAGCCTAAAACATTATGTTTGTGTGTAATTATATTGGTTTATGTGTGCGTATGTATATTTTGCAAGTGTATATTAGCGAGAATGTGTTGTATGTATTCAGTGTAATCACTGTTTAATTAACTGTCAGCTAGTATTTGTTTAACTCCTATCTATTCTGTCTACATTTGTGCACAATGTTTGAATGACTGACAATCAATTTTTTTATGCTGCTTAAAACAGAGATATCGATTTTTGTCTATGGCGAAGATAGATAGATATACGAAAATTCCATCTCATACAAATATATGTTATAGTTAGTTTCATCTTTTATTCCATTTGAGCTTGAATTGTTTACAGCGTTCACTTTTTGATAAGGTTTTTTGGTTTTCCTTTTACGTATAAGTTTTTTAATTACTTTACTTCATTGTAGCAGTTTTTGGTGATAGAATACCCTAGAATTTATCGATTTCTATTCATAGTACGATTTGGTTTTTTCTCGTTGGATTATTGAACTGATTCTACTATGTGTCCTTTTTGTTTAACTGACATGAAGATGGTTAGAACATAAATTATTCTCACGTTGTTTATCTTCCTGTGAAAAATTTTGCAAAACGTTTATTTATCACCCCTGGATAAAGACTTTTCAGATGAGGTAATGTCCATTTCTCACCCTATATACAACTAACTATATGTGGGACAATAGTTGGTTATAATTCAGACTGTTTCCGTTTATCTGAAATTTAGTAGTCAGATTAAATTTTTAGTGAATCTTCACCGTCAAACGCTAATATCTACCAGAATATTTCTGAAGATGTTAGTCACGTCGATTTTCGAAGCTACCATCTCTGTTATTGAATATATTGCTATGATTTTGAAAAATTTCCTCTCAAACTGCTTAAATAGAATATGTTTCACTGATTCTACTGCTTGACTTTCAACCAGTGAGTGCTTGATTTCAATCCCATTGCACCTTTATGAGCCTGGGGTACTCGGCAATATCGACAGCTCGAACACAATAAGCTCGGCTCATAGCTGAGTAAATGAAATATTTGTCCAGATGATCATTCAGTTCCAACTGAACAAAATTAGTTTTATTTCATTTCATGACTTCAACATTAGCTTCAAGGATATTTCCTTTCCAAAATCCTGTGACAAATTGATTTCGAATCACAGGAACTTTTTAATTATTCCTCTGTTCTGGTGTAAGATTATTGTTCTCCTGAGAAACGATCATAGAGTTGAATATTTATTTGTTTGCATTATATCTTAATTTGTCACTTGCTTTCAATCTATCTGACAATAATATTTCCAAGCAAACCGACTAATAGGACATTTTGCAAACACTGCTTAATATATCTGGGCACTTAACATCCTCATGAGGCTGTTTTGTGAACTCCTTCTGTATGCCGCTCACTCATAGCCGTGACTATGATTACGTATATCATGGTCCATTTAGTTTAATTTAATGCAGAATGTTAAGTAGCTGGATTATTTAATATTAGTACTATTCTCTTGGGTTCCAAGTAGAACGCGTGGCTTCGGCTGCACGTCTCCATTTCACGTTGTTCTCTACAGTCCTCTTTTAGCTGGTTTCAAGATTACTCATAAGGTTTTATTTCCTTCCCACACGATTTTCTTCATGTCATTCTCAAATACCCAACCCGTTGTTCCCCATCCCAGTATCGCTTAAGGGCTTGAAGTGTAATGTTACTCAACGGTCTCCTCAGCGTATATCCAAACCATCTCTATTTTCTTTTGAATATGTGTTGCGAGACAGAAACTTTTAATCAGTCGAGTGAATCTCAGACTTTTCATTCATGGGAACTACTTTAGATACAGCATAATATTTTAGCTGGAGAAACTTAGGGAGACTCCTTTTCGCAATAGAAAATGCATACGCCTGTCAGCAGTCTTTAAAGAATTAAAGCATTTATGATATCGTAGTTCATAATATAATGCCATTGATTTCCTCTGCCACTTCAAAATGATTGGTTTGTAAAATAAGTAATAGTAATAATAAGTAAAGACCAAGCTGTGTCTGGGAATCAGAAGAAGTCCCATCGGGTTGGTGTAAGTCACTGATTATCCCCATATACAAGAAGGGAGACAAGTCTTCCTGTGATAATCACAGAACGATTAGCTTAACTAATATAGTATCTAAAGTCCCAGGCTCAATAATCATGCGTAGACTGAGTGGCGCTCGGGAGGAACAAACACGAGAGAGCCAGGCAGGCTTTATACTAGGAAGAGGGTGTATTGATCATATCTTCATCCTCTGACAGATTCTAGAACATAGGAATTCCTATCGGCGTCCAACAGTCATTATATTTCTTGACCTAAAGGTGGAATTCGATTATGTCAACCGAGAGGTTCTCTGGCGATGCTTGTCTGTAAAAGGGAATCCCGATAAAATACATTGCACTGATTAAGGCACTCTACTCGAACTCATGCAGCCAGGTGAGGGCTTACGGCGAGTTGTCATCTGAACTGATGATGACTAGCGGTGTCCGTCAAGGATGTCCATTATACCCTTTTCTATTCAACTTCATCATAGATGTACTAGTGGGCTTAACCCTAAGTGACTTCAGCGACTCAGGGATTGACTTCCTACCAGGGAATAATCTCATTGACTTAGAATATGCAGACGATATAGTCCTTCTAGGCGAGGACTCTGACAAAATGCAGAGTCTTCTCAACACCTTGAGCTGTAATCCACGAATGTTTGGCATGCGATTCGCTCCCACCAAATACAAGATGTTGTTACAGGACTGAACTACACTGACTCCTAGATAAGAAATAGGAATTGAAGTGATAGAGCACGTTGACCGCTTCACTTATTTGGGAAGTACCATGAGCCAGCGCCAACGCGTTGATCTCTGACGAAATATCAGCACAGATACAAGGGGCTAGTTTCGCATATTCCAGTTTACGCCGTCTCTGGCGTAGACGAGATATCCCACTGTCGACCAAAGGGCGGATGTACTGCTCATCATTCCCTTCCTCTTCCTTTATGGCTGTGAGACCTGGCCACTGAGAGTGGAAGACATGAAAAGATTAGCTGTCTTTGATCATAGGTGCCTGCGTTCGGTCTCCCGTGTGAAGTGGCATAATAAGGTGAGCAATATTGAGATTAGGCATCGGTCGAGTTCTAGGTAAACAGGGGAAATCAATCGACGAAGTTGTGAAGTTACAAAGACTGAGATGTTTAGGACATGTGTTACGTATGCCTAGCCATCGCCTTCCTCGACAACATGCAATGTTAGCTGACATAGGGTCAGGCTGGAAAAGAGCTGATGATGCGGAGGTCAAACCAAAACATGGCTTCACCAGTCAAGGAAATCTAAAACAGTTAGTCTAAGCCAGCCACGTAGGAAGGTGTAGACTTCCTAACTGGTTGGGGTCCTCGGGACAGTGAAAATCAATGGTTGGAAGCTATTGGTAACATGGCTCAAAATCATTCTCAATGGCTGGTGCAGATGCATTCACTCCTTGTGACTTTTGATTTCCAATGAAACTGTTTTGTTCTTCGTTATTACTATTCTTTTGTCTCACACCTCTGTTTACTGTCTCCGATATGCATTTCTTCTACTTTCTTCTGTTACTTTGTGTGGTACATGGAGTGTGGCGACTTGAACGGCCGTACATTTGTGCAAAGTTCTATGTCGAAAACAGACAGGCAAAGACCAGTTGAACAGCTGCCTGCTTGAATGACTGAGGTACCTAACACAGTGCATCGTATTTTCCCTAACTCTTATTGTCTTGACCGTTCAATTCGAATGACATCGCTCACCAGACCCTCGAGTGGATTCCAAATAAAAAGCAATGACTGGGCCGTCAGTGGAGGGTGATATGAAGGAGATCGTGCAATGTGGAGATGAGAGACTATGAGTACTCGTAAACCCAGCTGAAGAGGATGACAGAAAGTTGAAGAAAATGGAGATGTGTTTTTGAAGTCCTATGTTCCACTTGGAAACCAAGGGAATAATAGCAATAATAACAGTTCAGCTCTATCCTTGAGTCACAAAATGTACTCACGCACATTTTTAATTAGTTTTCAAACAACCGGTGGCACGTTATGAAGACGAAAGAAAAATATCATAACGGATTCATCTATGCTTCAGATCTAAAAGCATTACATCACGTGACACAGTATAGATTGCTACTTTACTTGGGCATCCTTAATGAGAAGAAAATATTATCCAATGAATTACTCTGGAAATTCTGTATATTGCGTAAACATTTTGTTCAGAATTAGGGTATTTTTATTTATTTTTACGTTTGCCTATCATCATATTCTAATGCTTTTTAAGGAAGAATCCTCAAACACAAACGTATCACCTTATGGTGAATTCTGTTCTGTTGCACCTTTATTTCAATAGTCTTACAGTTCATGCTACAGAAAATCAGTATCATTTACTTCCATGTCTCTATAGAGCTGTTGTCAGAATACCATTGTGAACATGTGTATGTTCACAAAATTCTACTGGGTGCTTATGCTAGAGACCTACCTTTAAGTTGTATAAACCTACTGGTAGTTTCTTTAAGTAAACTTCCAAGCATTATTTCTACCTTTTTGTGTTGAACTACACATATTTTTAAAATTCTGTGGAGAGTTTTTGAGTGGAAAATACTGTTGGTCAAATTCTTTAAACTCATTGCATATTTATCACTGAAACCATTTTGTTATTTCTTTGTTAAAAGCTCCTGTCATTCGGGTGGATGAAGAGATACAATTTCGGTGTGTGTAATTGGTTTTTCCATAATCTTACTATCACTTAGTGTAATTGTTTTTTGCCAATTGAAAGTAATTCCCAAGTGTAACTGGACTTCATCTACAACCTAGAACGATCTAATTCTTTGTTTTTGTTTTTTTCTACAAAATATCCACTCATTAATTTTCCTTACCATAATGAGAGGCAAGACAGGTTATATAGTTTTATTTTAAATATACATTTCAGCTTCCTTATATCGTTTACGTGGTGACATAATTCACATTGCAATGTTAGATATTACCGGTGATATTATACCAAATCCTTCAGAACGTTGGGATGACTCACCTTTTATCAAAGGCGGGACAACTTTTGAGCTTTCGAAACAAGCATCTGTTTTATCATGCTCATCTGTATGTTCTGGAGGTGCTTCTTCAGTTCATACTGGTGTCGACGCTTATGGGTCAAGTGATGCAGGTTTAAAGTCAGGTGGTGGGGGAGGAACAGGAGGGGGAAGTAGTAATACTCGAGCAATGAAAGAGTCGATCTCTCGTCAAAATACTGTTACCACACATATATCATCTGCATCATCTTCTGGTCATTCCGGTAAGTATATTCTTTTGTAGAAATGTAAGCATTTCATTCCTTTTGTGTTCCGAGTGAACTATAGAGCTTCGAGCTTCTTAGGCTTTGAGTTTTCAGCGGCACTTGTGTTAATAACCTCACACCCAACCTTCACCCTTATCCCGACATACTACCGGCTAAGCGGCGAGGTCAAGCAGTGCGTTGGTCAGGGATTGAACTCCGGACCATGTGATTGGACTGGCAGGCATTCTACCCCTGGCCCACCGATGCACTGACGCATTAACATATCTGCACTAATTGTATGATTTTTTTCGGACCTGAGGATTTAATCAATCAACTACTGAATTGTTATTGTGAATAAATTAATACCACTAAAGCGAAACTATCTAAAATCACTTTCCATGTCCATTAGCTTTCATCATAGTGTACTTTATTCAATAAATTCTTCTAACACCTCATTATCTTAGGTATTTTTGTTTGCTTACAGTTCATATTTTAATGATTCAGGTATCTACTGAACGCCAGTTGAAAATGTGCATTTAAAAAATTTTTCGAACAGGTGTTCCTGTATATGCTGGTACTCTTCAGGCTTATTAATAATAATCAATATGTATTCGGTGTTATAAGGTTATCTTCTGATGTATTAGACTTCATTTGTTACGAAGTAATAAATTTATTTTGTCCACCTCGAACTGTAGCTAAAAATTTAGGTTTCTCACTTACTGATATAGACTCATCGCTTCACATGAAACGTGGTGAACCCAGTTCTCCAGGGATTATTTTCTCCTATTGATTTTCCAAGTGATTTTGTTTCGTAAAGAAATGTTTATTGACCGAAATCAAGTCGTTGCAAACGAAAATTGTGAGAGAATCCAGCTTTACATCTTACCTTGCTAATTTTAGTTCTGTAAAAAGTGTCTTGTGCGATTGTTTGCTAACTTTACACCTTAATCAATAAATTACTGGTCATATGATTTAAGATTCTGCGTGATGCAACATGCAAACAATATTTAGTTTACTTTGCTAGTAACAGTAATTATGGTTATTGGTTAGTTTTTCCATTCCAACTTGCCAGGAATTTCACGTGAGTTTGTTCTAATTTTAGGCTTTATCTGGTTGTTGAAACCTCAGTAACTAAAGATTTTATTTTCAGAAAGAGAAAGAAATAGCACTTGAGCCAAATAGAAATTTATAGTGGTACCGTCAAAATGAATAATGATGAACTACTGGTTGCTTAACAAATCGAAATTGGTTCTCATTGAAATGTTTAAATTTGAACGACTCGTGTCTGTTTTATCATTTGTAGTTTTTTTTCTCTCCTCTAGTTCTTCCCTTTTTCGACTTTATAATGTCAGCTGTTACATTTAGAAGAAGTTTTTACATTCTTTTACAGAGTATTTTAAGCTTCGGGTGATTGGTGGTGTCTCTGAAATCTGTTGTACCTGATCAACAGCATGGTGATAGGCGGAGGTTTTGAGCAGCAGAAACCAGCTAGACAAAGGAAAGTAGGGAGACTTTGAACCGTGTCATCTGGTTACTACCTCATAACTCATATTTCATGAATCTATTAGAGATTATGCTTTTCGACTTAGAAGCCTCATTATTAGCATTTCTTTCTAGTTGTCCACCTTGTTTTCATCTCTTGTACTGTGGCTTTGCTTTACTTCTGATTTCTTTCAGACCAATATAATTTGTTGCAATAAGTCGATAAATCATTACTGTACCTATTTTAAACGAAAGCTTTGCTATACAATAAATAATTATGTAATTTTATGGAATGCTGATATTTTAAATGATACAACTTGTAGGACACAACTGATTTTATTTTGTGTTGCCAGTCGTGACTGACTATTTTTCACTGTTGTATGGCAAAAATAGTATATTTCTGCTTTGCAAGCTAGTGTCATACCAAGTGAAGTGAACTTGACTCACAGTTTAAGTGATATTTTACAGAAATCTCAACGTTTTTCGTTGAGATATACCGTTGAAAGCATATTTACTGCATATCAACACCTTTAATCTTGCTCGGATTAATTCGTGGTCAACCTTTAGTTATTTTCTATAAGGACAGAAATTATTTCCTTTTAAAAGGGAAGTCATTGTCCTTGGCTCTTATCTGTTTTATCCTTATACGCAACTGATTACGGAATAGTAGAAAAGCAGCAGTTTTACAAAATAAGCCAATTCAGCTCATTTTTTCACTGACGTATTTGTTGTAACTGTACAAGTTTGCATTCAAGTTTCAGAAAGGAAGATTCTAAGCAATATTACCCGAAAAATATTAACTTTCCGATATAGATTTACATTCAATGTTTGCTGTGTAAACTCTATCTTATTTGGGCTTATCACATAAGAATTAGACAAACTTCATTTACTTAGCATGAAATAAAGTGTATGTTGTCTTGAGATAAACCTTAGCTACTCAAATGATGTATTGATAGAATTTTATGTCATCAGTTCGTCTTACAAACTCGTTAATTCAATGTACTTTTTTTTTATAAAACTTTCCTTATAAGCATATATCCTACTCATACTATTTTTTAGGTACTGTAGCGGCCAGTACTGCAGGTGGTGGTACATCCCAGTCAGGTGCTACTACTGGACTTGACTCTCCAACAGGATCTAAAGGCTTCACTGATTCTGATCGACAGCTTGTTGTACTATGTTCGGAAAAACAGGCTCGTGTAGTTGCACTTCCCTCTCAAACGTGTCTATATAAGGTAAGTTTAGTATTCACTTTTAACATTTCATCTTTTTAATGATTTGGATGTTATGTAACTGTGAGTTATTTATTCGAATTTCTGCTTAATACTTACCCTTTGTCTAGGTCAAAATAACCGAAACAAGTCAAGTGGTACGTGCTTCTGTACAACGTTTTCGATCGTCTCATAATAGTGGCGCATCGGGAACATCTAGTTTTCTTGCCTGTTATCTGGCAAATGGACATTTTATTGCCTTCTCTTTACCAAGTTTACGTTTGTTAATGGATATGGATTATTTGCCTTATACAGAATGTATAACTCGATCATTTGCTTTTGGTCAGTATGCACAAGCTGTGTATTTGGCTTCACCATCGGAATTAACTAAAATCACGTGGTCATCAGATGTTTGGTAAGGTTTGATTTTATTGTGATAATAATGACATTCATATCTTCAACTGATTAAAAATGCCTATTAAATTTTTTCAAAAGAATGGATATTGAACAAAGAGTACTCTTTTCGATAACTTCAACATCAGGCTCTACAGTTATATATACATTATAGTGAATGAATGATTTAGTGTTGTGAACGAGATTAATGTTGTTTAAATAACATCGAATCAATAATATTGATAGACTACAGCTCAATAGCATCAACATAAAATAAGCTGAATGTCAGAAAAATTGGGAAAGATAATATTGCAAATTCATAGTCTCTACTGAAGGCCAAGGCAGTAGTAGGGACTGGACTTGCTTCTTTTGAACACAGAACACTGGTTTTTTGAGGCGGCGAATTGCAATAGCCTCTGTTTTTTGGCGCATGCAATGCTTCGATGATTTTGGCAATTTATTAGACACCCCATAGATTACAGAGAAGGATTCTTCCACGCTAGCTCTGTGACAGGTTTGGACCAGATGGTCCAATATCGAACTATTAATGGTTTTCACTACACCTTTACTTAACCATAATGGGAGATGTCCTCGAGCATGAAAAATCAAGTCCCTAGAGCAACTCGCTCGACAAGCGCAGTTTAGTTGGTAGATACAATTTGAAGTTGCTAGTCTGGTTACTTCATCTTTCAGTCGAGGTAACACCATCGGTCGTGTAGAGAATAATACGTTTAGTTCACCAGCATCCATATCTTCCTTGAATTCGATTAAACAGTCTCTTTTTTATTACTGTGCCGTAAGACAGCCGTCCACTAATCCGTCTACTACTAAATAAGATAAACAAGTGCTGAAGAGATTTGTATGTCAAGTATTGGGAACAGTTTCTATAAACATAATTTACTGTTGTTTCGACAGATATTTAACGATGCGCACTGGCTTTTAAAGTAAGATAAACCGAAAAGTTCAGATTTAAACAAATCCAAAATAAAGTAGGACCACAGACTGAAGCGCCTCCCATAAAGTTATCGTAGTTTGGGATAGTAATAGTAGAGTATGCCTGAAAGCAAAATGTATAAAACGTGACGTAATCATGTTGAGAGAAAATACTGGGTTTTCTGAATATTTTGAATAATTACTTCAAGATGTTTGGATACGGCTTCTCACCTTCCGAGTGTTAACTGCCACGTCAGGATTTAGCTGCATTGATATCTATCTGACTGTGGCTATTGAAATCACTTAGCTAACTGAATATTCCGCTTACCTGAAGACCATTGTTGACATGCATACAGAGTACTTATCCGGCTTTCCCAAAATTTGTAACTCCTATGGAAATACAAGACATCCGATTGACTACTAAGGTTTAAGTATATTTCGAAGACTGAAAGTGTCTAACCCGTGTTGCCTTAATAACACTGCATGTTTTGAATGGAAGGCAAAATTATCTCTTCTACTAAACTGCATTCTTTTCTGATGTCAAAAAATATGAGAAAAGCATACTGAGGAATTCGTCTAAGGCAGTGTGAATATATCTGTCGATTTGTCACTGTGATGCAGTACAGTACACGCATGTGTGAACCCTACCTAACGAATATAATTCGATAGCAAAATAACGAGAGCTGCGACCATTTAGTAAATCCCGTTTTTATAGAAGTATGAGAAATATCAAAGATAAAACTGTACGTACATAATACAATTGCCGATAGATATTTTCGGTTTATAGATATATGGTTTGTTTTTTATGATGAATTAATGACAGTAAGACCGTTTTTATGCACAGCTGTAAGTATTCAGATAGAACAGTTAAGCACATGTGTTATTTTTCGTAGAGTTAAATAACTGCCTTTAACTCTGGAAATTAATGAACACTAAAACTTATTATTCTGTCTATACAGTCAGTTACAGTTTTATTCGAAGTTCTTCTGCTCAAGTGTCTAAATTGACATTAATTGGAAGAAATCAGGCTAGTCATAGTATTAGATGTACGTTGAATATGTCAACGTCGACGGAAACCATAAGTGGCCTTTTATTCGGCAGAAGTTAGAATTCAAGGACCATTGGATCGGGTCCCAGTGGCTCAATGTTCTGCGAGCTCACCTTGTAACCAGAAGGTCCTTGGTTCGAAACCAGTTGGGTGCGAACTGATGAAGAGTCCCAAACTAGGACGAAACAGCTGTCCATTACTCCCAGGTTTTCTAATTGTTGTCTAACTGCTGTCAGTTCGTGATGAGATCTACCATGCCTTTTATTTTGGCAGTTAACGTGATTAGAGCAATGGCGGTGCCTTGTAGTACTTTATTTATGCTAGGCAACAGTGTGTTGATTCACTGCATTGTCATGCTTCTATTATTCCTTCATCATGAGAATTATGTATGTCTGTCAGTTGTGTTTAGACTCAAAATTTCAACAAATAAAATCATTGTTTGATATGTTGACTTTAATAAGCGACACATACGCGTAACGGAACATATATTCTTTTTTGTTATGTACACAGAATATGTACACACATACATATGTGTGTTTGTATACGTGTAGTATACACCTACACACTCTCTGTGTTTGTTAGGATATTTAGAATACCTTAAATAACGCATAAGAAGAATATTACTGATGTGTTGTTATATTTTTTAAATAGAAATCATATAAATTAATAAGAGTATTAAATTCTTAAAGATAACTAGAACTAAATGGTTCTTTGAGCAAGGTGATTGTTACAGGTAGGCGATTTTTCTCTCGTGTATATGAAATCCACTTGATGTCATTTTTCATGAATAATTGTAATTGTGTACGGCCATGCTTTTGGTTTATTTTTTCGCTAAGTGATGTAGAGATTGCGTCTATGTAATAGTTTTTTTTTTCTATGTATTTGCAATTGTTTGACTGATTAATACTCCAGAGGTTCCGCACATGTTAAACATATACGCTCTTTGCCTCAAAATGGGGAAATGGTTTGACGATAACTTGCTTCAAATACAGCAGTCATGAGTTTCAATGAATGAATTCATTACATATTATCCAGGTGGAAGGAAACTGTTGTGGAGTTTGGATTTTTTTTAAGCAGACGTTAAACAGTGCTCATCAAGTGTACAATTCAGTGTTTCTTCGTTTGTTTATAGTGTAAATCACTGTTCAAGAGAGAGATATTGGTAGTATTAGCCTTTTGTTAGTATAATTTCTTCTTCATGTAACTTTACATGATAAACTATGAGGGCTTGCATTGACCCAGTTAAGCTTGACAATCCAAATAGTTGATTATTTCATTTATTATAATGAAGAAAACTATATTGTCTACGAGAAGTCTTGCTTTTTTTTTAGATTGGAATTAACCTTCACCATACTCTGATACGTCATATGATTACCATGTATTGATTTTTTTTCTATCTTCTGTATGCTTCAGTGCTAATTTACGTGATATGCAAGGTGAGATTTTCTTACCAAGTAATATGCCAGAACCTCCTAAGAAGAATTTTTTCAAAAATTTGCTGAGTGGAAATTTGACGTCTTCATTAGATCGAGATGAATTGTGTAAGTTAAGCGCAGATTTTATCTTTTCACAGTTCACAAACCATGTTTTATATGTGTGTTTTTTTTTAATGTTCATCGTAGAAGTCTTGACAGGGTTTTTATGTAACAAGTGAATAGTGATGATGATCAGTTAGAATCTTTTATGTCGTATAACTCCTGCCGTTAAGTTGTTTTATTTGGTGTAAGTTTAAACTGCACACATTCAGTCCTTTTTTATTTGGCACCTGCTGATTGGTCTGATTAGAATAATTAGCTGAAACTGTCCCATTTTCTTTTCTTTTTTTCGCTTTTTGGAGACTATGATACTAGTTTACAGGTTTTTCCTACCACACACCACTGCCCTAATCTCAGTGAATTAGACATTGATTCGACTTTTCCGATTCACCATTATATTTGTCTGTTATTAAAAACCACTCTGATGGATTATGTGATCTGATTTATCGAATATAATTCTTCTCAATAATGAATTACTTTGCTGGTCGTGGCAAGTTACATTGATACAAATATTTTGCCACTGAAGATCAAAGTGATGTACATACATGTTGTCATGAGGCAAGCTTCAATTTACACGTCAATTAATTTTACATGACTAACTTTGATAGACCGCGTCGGTGGCATAGCGGTTAGGACACTCGCCGACCATGCACATGGTCCGGGGTTCGATCCCCGCCTGACGGACTCCTTTACCTCGCTAAGCCAGAAATAATGCTGGTAAAGAGGAAAGGTTGGGCATGAGGCTAGCAACCTCATCCTGTAAAATTAAACACTGCTGCGGAAACTTTAAGCCACTAGCTTGAAGCCCTATGTTCCACTGGGGAACGTGAAGGAAAAAAAAAAACTTTGATAGACTACTGCTCTACGAAATGGATAAATTATTCTCAAAACAAAGAGGACCTTTGAATTCCCCTTTCCACGTCAATGTCTCAAACGACCGATAGAACTTTCATTAAGCTTAAATAGCTTGTAGGTAGGTGGTCAGTAGTATTCAGTGGTTATATATGTATATGTATATATATATATATATATATATATATATATATATATATACCATTTCTCCAACACAATGAATTTAGTTGCATGATTTCAAATTAAGAACGCTTGATTGGTTAAAATCGTCTTGTGTATCAGGAAATTATATCATCATATACAAATTGTTTATTCCTTGTATTCCTGTAAACTTGGTCACTTCACAGTCTCTATAAAAGTAAGTCAAACACAGCCTCAATACAATCTGGGAATCTCGTCCACAGCTACAGTTCATTCAACTGTCTCTTTTTTGAATGTGCATCAGTAGTTATCCTTAAAGATGAAAACATTTGTTAAATTACAATAGTTTATAGGGGAAGAATGTTGTATGATGTAATTGCGTTCATCTGCATGCAACCAGGCGAGAAAAAAAGCGAGAGATTACTCAAAAAACACAGCGTTACTTCATAACTGTTTCCTACAATGTCCTGATTCTACTCATCTTGTTTCCTACAACTTTTCGTTGTAATGCAATATCATGTTTCGTGTTCTTCAACAGTACATGCTACTTTTTTGCAATAAATTCCAAGTGTTTGTTTAAGGATTGTATGTTAATACACGCTCTAATGAGTGTATCCTGTGGGTTTGATACTTGTAATATAATAATAATATTATTACTATAATGATCACTTTTTCTAAGCCATATTTTTGATACATTACAGAGTTTCCAGCAATTTTATACTGCCATACATTTATTTTCTTTGAAAAAGTTTTAAAAAAATAGCGTAATAATATTAATAGTATTATTACTATTATTAATTTTGATGGAGTTAATAATGCAGGAATGAAATTGCTGTTTATCTCCTGATTAAAAAGTTTGTTGTGTAATTTTCTCTCTCCCTTACATTTCTGTTTTCATGTAAGATGCGTGATAAATAACTTATGACTGAAGTTTTATATTTAGGTGGGTATATGTGTGTGTGTGTTAGCGTGTATTCTTACGGAATTAATTCTTGTTTCCCTGAAGAGACACATGCACAAAGTTGAGAATAAAAATGAATATTCAGCATCCCATATGATCATTCTAGATAACGGCTCCCGTCGCTTTCAATGTTTTTCAACTTATTGAATCATGGGTACACTATTGACTCTGCTTTTATACGCTTATAATCCTACAGAATTGTAACATAGGCTCTTTCCAGTAGTCCATGAAATAATAAATGGGAACAATAAAGAAGAATCGGTAACATATGGGAATTTCAAACTTGAAAAAGAAAGGACTGAACTATGCCAAAGATCTTTATCTTTGTTACGAAATAGTGTTTGAAACTAAATAAGACATGAGATAACCAACAAAGATAATAAAAAAATAGTGGTGAGATAGCCAACGTTTGATTTATGCTATACAATAGTTCTATCGATATTACTAGATTCATTCGACTACATTAATCAAAAAGTTATTGTCTAAGCCTTTAATCGAAATAAAACGTCTAACTTTGTGTTGGATTTGATTTAAAAGCGTTCGAAGAAGATCACTGGTTAGTTTTATCTAGGCGAATATTACTTTCAGAAACGTTCAGTCGGGAAACACCTGACACGGAGACTGTCACACTGGTAGCCGAAGTAATGAAGTCAGATATTGCACAAAATAATAATATAAGGAACAGAACAGAAATCGACAAAATAAAGAACACCTAGATACGCTGTCTGTAGTAAGCAATGAAGTGGAATGTCTTCATTCTTTCAAAGATGTGTCATGGTAAGCTTATTTTTCCGGAGAAACACAGGAACAGAGTCTAAAGATGAAGTGTAGTGTAAGAGCACATAGCTTGCAAACTTGGTGCCTGTATCTGTACTGAAAACAATTTTATGATGCCATACAATAAGGCATCCCTAGTACTTCTACTGAGTTTGTAAGCAGTAATTGTTTCTAAAATAAATGTTATTCAACTAAGTGGGATGAGCACATTGTTGAGTGTGTTTAATGTGTTAGTCAAGGTCACCGTGATTTCACTCTATACATATTGTATTTGAATTTCTAGTCTAAAAGTCACTATCCAGAAATTATCTCCCTATTATTAATAGTATGTTTTACTAGTCATGCAGTAATACGTAGTATTTTTGGACACCAGCGTATTATTCATTCTCAGTTAAACAACAATGAGCATGCTTGAGGCTGAAAGTGTTTACTTTGTATTGTGCTGTATTATTTCTAGAAAAGAGAAGCACCTAAACTACTTGATATTTGAAAATAAAATGAATACATTGACCGTATCATACTTTCAGCATTAAGGTAGTTATCATATTTGTACATCGTGAGCATTGCCTACATCAAAGCTTTGTTATCTTGGTAGATTCCATAATTCGTGGGTGGTGGATATAAAGTCTGTGATATTTTCTGGCATCTTGTGAACACTCTATGGATATATGCAAACTCACAAAACATCCTAACACTATGTTTAGTTGTAGTACACAAGTTTGGAATTTTCTATTTAACCAAGAGTATAAGTTATATTACCAACAAAGCATTTTCAGTGGACTGCAATTTTACCAAATAAGCTGCTAGTTTTCCTTCCTTCTACCGGTTGACAAATTTTTTATTTAAATGTTTTGAAATAACAAGCGCCAGGGTGAACAGATCTAGTTTAAACTAACTTTTTCTCTATTCACGCTAAATCAGTTTGCATTGGGGTAGATTTCAATTTTTCTGAGTAGTGGGTCTCACAAACCATGGTTTTAATTTGCATCTTGTCTAATGGCATACCAAATTCGCCTTTGGTTACTTATTTTTACTTCAGTTGGTGAAGCAAGTTCAGGAAAGGGGACACCTGGTGCTACCACTCTACTCCCAAACGCTCGTATGGAAAAACTGTCTGGTCAAGCTGGTACTGCCACTTCCGAAATCGCACGAGCTCGAAATGCCGCTATCGAACGAGGTGAACGACTGCAGCAATTAGATCTGCAAACTCAAGAGATGGCTGATCAAGCCAAAGGTTTTGGTCGTTCCGCTGCTATCCTTGCTGCCAAATATGAGAAAAAGGACAAACGTTGGGGTTTACCATTCTAACAAAGTCACTACTGCAGTAATTCGCTTTTGCTCATTTCTTTTAACTGACTGCACTCAGGTAACTTTGCAGAATTCGTATTTTGGGGCCTACAAGAACACATTTCGGGACTGTTTGACGTATGTAGTACCACTTCATTCAACTCCGCACACCTAACCTTAAATGCAAATAATGAGCAGTGCTTTTTCTTAAAGGAAGATAAGTCAGCAGTGTTAATATGCATCCTTAAATTTTCCTCAATATATACATATATGCATTATTTAGCGCTTAAGCTTTAGGAACTTAAGTATGAGAATATCAATGACTGGCCATCACTGTGATCTGCTGTTTACCGTATTAACACAGTTTTGAAATGCTTGTTTTTGGCTCATTTCTTCAAAGTTATCATTAAATTCTTCTGTTTTGTTAAGATGGTAACATTGAAATTATCATTCTTAATCATAAACAGAATTTTTGTTTATGACATCTACGAAACTCATGTTATCGAATACCACCATACTCATCAGAAACTTCTTATTATAATTTACTTTTATTCAAAGAAATGCAGAAATTCCTTCTTTCAGCTGATTTATCTCAACAAATCTGAGTGCTATTTTTGTTGTTGGTCTATTAACAATGTAATAATTTCTCGTCTCATACCCATAAACGATATATATATATATCGACAAATTCCCTAGTTTTTGTTATCCTATTGTTACAACATAAATTTACAATCCATTATTTCAAGAGGAATCACCTTTCTCAAAACTTTCATATCACATTCCCAAACTGTTGATCATTGGCTCATTTTGCGCATTCATTATTTTTCATTTCGTATGTTCCTAACATCATTTTACTTAGAAATATAACAACAGAATTAATTTGTTTTTTTTCCTTAAAACAGCTTCGCGTGTACGTTATAAATTATTCAGTAATCTAAAATGAAATTCTGATTAGTAATCAATAACTCATAAGTTGTCATCCTGGTTGTACGACATGTCACGAAATTTGCCACATTATCTCGTAATTATTTGGTTGCGGGCAGATATGCTGCCCGATAATTCGTACAGACTGGGTGAATATCGATCGAAAATAAGTTGTTAGATGAATTCCGCTCACATTTATTCTACAGGCTTTATCTGATTGGTCAGTTTTAAAGTGAATCGTAATCACCTACTTTTAAAGCTATTTTGACTTCCACATAGTCATTTTTAATTTGAATTGTTGGTGGCACAACGAGTTTGGGCATAATGAACATCCCAAATATGCTCTTATTTGTTTCTATTGGAATTATCTACACTACACGATTCAGTGAGACTGCTATCGCATCTAATGCCAGGTCATACAACCCATGGAGTGTCGGTAGTGTATTACCAGTATCCTATCCAGATTCAGAAATTCAACAGTACTCGCCGACTGGGCAAAATCAACAGACTATCTTCCCCTTAACTTCTCAAACTGACCTCATAGACCAGTATCCACTCTTGCCATTCAGTTTGCCAGCACAACAATTATTCCTTCAGTCCCTCATGAATCCTAATTCTTACAAGCAACAACAGCAGCTGTTTATGTTTAACCCATCAACTCTGCCTAGTCAAACAACAATTTTATATCCTGATGACCAGCAACTCTCATCAGCTGCATCAAGTGATGTCTCAGAAGATGAAATCGAAATTCCACCTGAAACAAATGTACTAAATCCTCAGTACTCAGATGCATCTATCGTTGGTGGCCCCGACGATGGGGTTATTGGTATTGATGGTGGTATTGTCGGAAGCCCGCAAGATATTGCAGTAGTCGAAAGTGCAGGTCAGATGCTGAAAGTTGGTGACACACCACAGACTGAATACGCATATCCTGATACGGTCCCCGTGAATTCAAGACTATACAGTCCACTCACGAACACTTTCCAATACCCATTTCAAAGTATGCCTTTTGCTGTAGATCAATACGGCCAACCGCCATACCGCCAGGTATCTAGAAAAACTATCCCTTCACAGTATTCAGATATATTTATAACCAACAATATGTAAGTTTCCTCATATGACAATAGCAGTAATAATACAGTTTGTTAAAAAGGATTTCGCCTGCTTAATATTAGTTTTGGGTAGACAGAGACAGTTTTGAAGCTCTGAGATATCATCAGCAAGTGTTTTCTTGTTTCCTAGTTCCTAAGCTCAGAAAAAGAGAGAGGGTTGGGTATGGGGCTAGAGATCCTACTGCGGAAAATAAACCCAGCGGATACAGAAATTTCAAAGCACAGCAAAAATGTTATTGTATGAAGGAGAATTTGAACAACCGCAAGTGATTTAAACTCCTTCGAAACATCATTCACAATGAATTTCCGTTTTTGTGGTGTTTATGTGCAGTCTATGCGTAAATAGCGAAATCGATAGAACAATATCATTGCGTAATATTCTCCAGAACAATACCTACTGAAAGCTGCTACCTTGACGTAGTGGTCGGGCTTGCACATAGCAACGGCCTACACTGCCTGGAACTAATGTTCCTGCAGTTTTTGTCATACCAGCTATCCCTCCGACTCCGTGATCACGCAGTACAAATGCCCTTTCATTTTCAGGTATTTCAAAAAGCAGTCAAGTTCCTTGTCACAGTCTGGAAGTAATGATCTCCCATACACTCCCATAAGCATGCTTTCCTGTTGTTGTTAATACTATTTTAAAGGTAGGTCCTTCGACTTCTCTTAACTCTGAGGCTCGTAATAACTACTGACAGTCTCCCAAGGCCTCACTGCCAACTCGACGATTCTGAACATAGCAATCACTTACCAGAATTCTGGCATCTCGAGGCGTAGATGTAGGTTGTGTTTCAGAGACACGCCTTCAAGACAGAAGTGTGGTTATTCATTTAACCCCACTTGACCAACAAGGTGAATCTGAAAAATTCACTTTATAGGCATCACAAGATTCTTCAACTAGTTCGCGTAGACTTCCCGGTGTAAGAATAGAGTTGTGTACTAGGGCAGAAAATTCCTACTTGACTAGTTGAATGGATCCCTCAGAATGGGGGAAAATAGCGATACTCTTCGATCTCTTTTCATGGTCTTCGCTTACACCCCAACCAACTGCATCTCAGACGATGTAAATGATGAGTTCTACGGAAACTTGTCTAGTTTTCTACTGAAGGCAAAACCTTCAAATATAGCTAGTGTAACAGATGATTTAAATGCTCTAGTAGCGAAGCTGTGCTAGTCAGAAGAGTATAAATATACAGATCAGCACTAGCTTCAGACCTCTGGAAAACATTTCATGACCCCTATCATCAAATCAACAATGAACTCAAATCAATCACATAGCTACAACCTATCGATGGAGAAATTCGGTTGTTCCCTCCTATCACTCAATAGTCCGCACATGTATACTCAAAGGACTGAATGGATATAGGAAACAGGCAGCTGTGAAACCCAAACGTGCTCGACTTCTTCGTAAGTACACAGTCTTTATTTAGTGAAGAAACAGTTACATGCATACCTGAGGTTGACAGAAAGAATCATCCTGGGGAAACCTGATATAACATTCGGTTAGCTGTAAGATAGTGGTGAAGGCTGTTGATAATCTAAGGCCAACGGTTAGTGAATGACCATAGATTTCTGCTACGACATGCGAGATGATTAATACAGACTACAAACATGACAAGGAGCAAGCGGACCAAAGGTCTCCGCAGTAAATATAACAACGGTGGGCAACAAAAGCGAAAAAGATATAGAAAGCATTCGCAGTACGTATGACCAGTAATAAGCGAAGCAATTTCCGAGAAGAAAAGTGCTTTAATTACTTAACAGGATAGACGACTACAATGTAGGAGGGAACACGTATAGGAGCAGTTTAAATGGCCTTCAGTATCTGATAGATCCCTATGTAGAATATAGACATCTTCCCTTCAACTATAATTGAAGTTGTTAAAGCTTCCTCCAAACTGAAACGAAGCAAAGCGGTAGGACCTGATGCTTTGACTGCAGAGAAGCTTGGAGATAGTGGTGACGAACTAGTGACTGGAAATTAGACATAGTCAGTCCCTTAGAACTGGTGTAAATTACTGATTATCCCAGATTTTAAAAATGGAGACAAGTCTCCCCGTGATAGGCGTATTGGATCGGCTTGACTAGTATAGTATCTTAAGTTTCAGGTTCAACAATCACGCGTAGATTGAGTGATGCAAGAGAGAAACCATTCAGACTTTATGCCATGTTTTCTGACGTGAAGGTAGTATTTGCAGTTGTTGAACGTCCGGACCACTACGCTTATCAGCCCTAATGGACTGATTGTTAAAATCTCAGCAAAAGGCTAGTGAAATAATGCCCCACTGTTAGAGAAGAACAGCAGTGATAGCTCACTGTATACTCTCACTCTACTTTAGTTGTTTCTCTGTATGAATTCCAGGAAGTTGACAAAATTCTCAGTAACACCTCTCTAACAGAATTCTGAAGAGCGGTTACTCCCGACGAGTCAAGGGTTGCCCTAATATCAGGAAATACAATGACTGTTGCTATGCAATAAACGTAAGGGTGTTCTGTTAACTGAAGGGTATTTAACACTAGATTAAAGCTTCCACTGCCTGAATGAAACCCAGCCTGCTATCCTTCAATCGACTTCTTATGCGTTTTATTCAACCTGAGTAACAAAACAGTTCATAATTTAGAAACTAATGATAGAAGGCTGACATGCGTGTGGTTGTCACGTACACTTCTTAAACCGCTTTGAGTGATAGACGCAATAATAGCTTCACTACGACTATTTCACACTTTCCTGAACGGTCCAGTTCAGATTCACACTGACTTCCTTAAAACCACCGTGGATAAGGCGGTGGCTCTTCACTTCGTTAGGTTAATCGATAATGACTACCTAGAGTATTGTGATTACAAATGTTAGATGCTGTGGTTATGGATTTACTCAAATTTATTTCCCACTGTTCTTCAGTGACAGAGACAGAACTCCAGGTAATAAGATGATGATGGCTGTGACGGAATTTGATGATGGCCGGAAGTAGGTTGTGATCTACACGAAGCTAGAGGAGATAGTATCTATATCCGTTAGTCTCACATTCGGAAGCTCGCTCAAATGTGATAGCATAACTCATCCTTAGTTGCAACTTGGCTGCAGTCCGTCGCCACATAGGAAGAGATTATGAATAAACAACGTTTCTCTGGCTAGTCGCTTCTCACTCTAGTATAACTTCCTAAGATCATAACACGTAAACGATAGTTAGTGAGGATCCAGTCGGGTAATGCAGCTTCGACTCTAGCACTTAGTGCGATACCACCGGCACTAGTTCATATGGCAGTGATCATCTCTAGGGTACACGTGATATCTGACTATCGGCCAAAAGATGTGTTCTCTGTGCCCTTCATTATGACTGTGAAACATTATCATAGGCAGAATACTTGAAGAGACAAGCTATCTTTGGCCGTAGATGTCTGCGTTCTGTCTCTTGTGTTAAGTAGTATAATGTAGTGACTAGTATTGGGGCCAGGCGTAGAGTGTTAAGGCGGAAAAATCAATCGGTGCGACTATGGAGCTGTCCTTGAGACGCCAATAACCGTTGACTGGAAACTATTGTTGACTTGACTGAAAACGGTTCTCAGTGGCGCACACCCATTCACTCTTTATGAGCGTGTCGATCACTTCACTTATTTGAGAAGTTGCATCAGCCAACGCCAGCGGGTTGATCGCTGACGAAATCTCAGAACGGATACAGAAGTCTCGTCTCGCATATGCCAATTTAGGTCGTCTCTGGCGTAGACGTGATATCTGGCTGGCTATCGACCAAAGGGCGTGTGAACAGCTCAGGAGTCCGCTCCGTCTTCCTTAATTGCTGTGAGCGAGACATGGCCATTGAGAGTAGAAGATATGAAAAGGCTAGTAGTCTTTGACCGTAGGTGCCTGTGTTCTATCTCCCGTGTGAAATGGTATAATAGGATGAGCCGTATTGAGGTTAGGCATCAGTCGAGTGCTAGATTAGGACGGGAAATCAATCGACGAGGCCGTGAAGTTACATCGACTGAGATGGTTTGGACATGTGTTACTTATGCCTAGCCATCGATCGCCTTCCTCGACCGACGAGCAATGCTAGCTGACATAGAGTAAGGTTGGAAAAGAGCTAGTGGTTGTTAAACCAAAACATGGCCTCATCAGTCAATAAAATCCACAACAGTTAGTTTAAGCCAGCTATGTAGGAAGATGTAGACTTCCTGGTTGGGCCCTTCGGGACGGTGAAAGCCTATGGCTGGAGACAATTGGTGATATGGCCGAAAATCATTATTGATGATGGCACAGATGCATCCACTCCTTGTGACTGATAATACCGAATTAAACTATATTGTTACTCGATATTACTATTCTTTTTGCCTCATATCTCTGTTTACTGTCTCTATTTTGCGTTTCTTTTTACTTTCTTCTCTGTCTTTGTGTGATGAGTGTAGTGTGTCAACTCGAACTGCTGCACATCGGTGCAAAATTCGATGTTGAAACCAGTCAATCATTATCCTCTACATACTTATTCTTTCTCCTGTACATTTCACTTCATTATAGTTCCTTTGAATAATTTGATTTATCTCTACCTTTGTGTGGTATACACGGAGGGTGACAAATTGAACTGTTGCTCTTCTGTACAAAGTTCTACTTTAGAAATTCAGTGGTTTTTCAGACAACGGCTAAATTTCATTTCCATACTACATATTTCCAAAAGCACACGTAGCCTCCCATGCTACAAGCTCGTTTGGTAGGCGCATGTGGTACACGTTATCCGAATTCTCAGATCGGAAAGATATTGGAAACATCTTACTGGGTGCTGTGTGCTGGTTATTGTGATGCAGCATACAAGGCTTCCTTAGGTCCTATCATGATCTGTATATTATCCTCTATGTATCATTGTGCGAGCCGCGAAATTTTGTTCCAGAATTGTCTTGTTAAATATCACACTGGATACCGACTGAAAAAAACTAACTGGCTACTTGAAAGGTTATCAGAGTGCTGATCACTTTAACTTACCTAAGATCTCAGTGACAAAAGAAATTCAAATGGAAAAATGAGGAGATGAACCGCAAATGGATAGTTGAAATAGAAATAATATGACTATTTAATTTTAGAGAGAAACTAAGTATAGACTTGCTGAAGTAATTTCGAATTTTACCGTGGGAATTTCGATCTCCAACACTTTTGAAGCTGCCTAAAAGTCAGTGGACATTATAGACGTTTTTTAATTCAGCTAATTATCAGTGCTGGAAATTTGAAACTACCATGTCGATTCTAAATAATCGCTTTTCGTTATTTCCTTAGTAATTTTTGGACAAATTTTTAGACATAATTTCTTTCACATAACATACGAAAGGTTGTATGTTGAAACTCATTCAATCATACGCCTAACAACATTTTCTACTGTAAGGTGAATCGCAGAAGTTCACAATTTTTTAACACAAAAAAATAAAACATTTAGTTTTTAAGTGTGTTCTTATTGAAAAACAAGGTTTAGAATATTTACAGTGTACGTGCGAACAATGAGAAAAATGAAAGACGGATGCATCAAGTTTGAGAAGCTAGAAACAGCTTGTCCGCAGTTATTGCCCAACTGACACAACAACGATTTCATCTTCTGCAGTGAGGTGGACGCGCCAATCTGAAGGTCTTAACGTGCAACCATTAGAATCATGCAACATGTGCAATAGACGGTTTTGCTCTTCAGTAAGTGTATCCCTGAAGAACAAAACAGCAAGTAAATTACTATGATTACTTTTATTTATGCTGGCCAATAGGAAAAAACTTGGTATCATAAAATATATCATAGAACATATGAAATTTAGACTTCTGGCATTCTGACACCAGGTTAGGTATAATAACATCTAACTGCCAATGACATATGTTGCAAGTGACAGGCATTTTAAATTGTGGCCTATCGGTTTATTTATTTATTTAAACGCATAAAAACCTGGTACAATATGGCACCAAGAAGGATGCGCCACACAGTAATAATAAAACAACATAGATCAAAAGAAAAAAGAGAAAGAAATATATGTAAGTATAGAACGGATAAAGAACTTCATCTGGAAGGAAAACAGTCATGCTTAACAAGTTAAAACAGTATTCGTTGACTATCACCGGGAAGGGAAGAAAGAAGGAAATCGCAACACGTGTAATAGCACGCGATAAGTTTCACTGATTGTTTGTTGCTTTATTCAATTCATTGTGTGAGGGCTGAGATACTGCCCGGGCGTCCAGACCGAAGCAGATGGTTTTATTAAGGGACCACCCCCCGAGCCTTTGACTTGGAGTCTAATCTGCAAGGCAGCGGAGCAGCGTCAGGAGCTGCATTCCCATGGTTGACGGTGACCCATATGGGTTCATACGCCATTTGATCCGATTGGATACTGGAGCCCATGTACCCCATGGTAACTGCTTTTAGTTTAACCGCTATCCAAACAACCTTCCTGACATGGTAGGACCTGCAGGGACAGAGCCCCAGTCAGTTTAGCATGTTGGGTAATTACGGTATTCAAGCCCGACCACCACGACAAGGTAGCAGTTATCGGCCGGGGCCTATCGGTCCAGTCAGATGGTAATAGGCTTCTTTTATATAACGCATCTCCTTCAACACACATTGTTCTTTGATTTTCGATGGTTTTATACGTGATTTCGATAAGTAGCAAAATTCAAATAATCCAACAAACTTAACACAGTAATATGATAATGCCTACATATATACTACAACAAATACACACTTCCTGTCCCATGTACGTTCACCTAAAAGACTATTGTTATTCCGCTGGGTTCCGAGTGGAACATAGGGCTTCAGTAGCATACCTCCACATTGTCCTACTTTCTGTGGTTTTCTTTGGTTGGGCCCGTGATTGTCAATAGTCTCTTATCTCTTCCTCTCACGATCTCCTCCAAGTTACTTTCTGACCGCGCCCACTCGTCCTTTTGCACTAGGGTTGGACTTGAGAGATGGCCTGGTGTGCAATGCAACTCGACAGTTTCCTCAGTTGTGTGCCTAATCCATCTCCATTTTCTTCTCCATACTGTTTGAGCAGTAGGTTATTGTTTGGTTTTATCCCACACTTCCTTGTTATTTATTCCTTCTAGCCATTTGATCTTCAGTATGGAACGAAGGCAACTGTTGATGAAAGTCCGCAACCTGATGGAAATGCTTCTCGTGATGCGCCCAGTATCTGACCCATATGTAAGAACTGACTTAATACTAGTGTTGAAAATCCAAATCTTATTCTTTACGCTGATTACGGCTGATTTCCAAACTGCTCTGAGATCGATAAAAGTCTACCTTGCCCTCTCGATCCCGATTGGCTTTGACATCTTCATCCGTTCCATCTGTAGTTGAAAGGCCTAGTTTACTAGTTCGCTAGTTTTCTAACCAGTCTCGAACTCGGGAAAAGAGGGAAACTGGAGAAACTAGAGACCCTACCCAAGAAAATCAACCAAAATACTACAGAAACTTCAATGCACAAGAGAAATATTAAAAAATGAACTATAATTAAAATTTACTGCATCGTTGTGGTTTCAACCCACACAAAAAGTTTTGGGGTATAATTTGAGTAATAAACGAAATAGGCTTAGAATTCAAGGTGACCATGTTAGGTAGGCGACGTGTTGGGAGGATTAAATGCATGAACAAATGTAAACAAATCCGCAATCTATACTGCATATTCTCTGAGTAGTGATAGAAACACAATAATTATATGATTGTTCCACGTAAACTTCTGCATAGAAATGCATCACACTTTTAAAAAGCGTACGGGCTTCTCATTGACGAATTTCCGGGCTGTTAAACTGCTTGTCATAAAAGATGTATATTCCTTTCCTTTTACGATTAATTTAATTAATTCTATCCGCATGTTATGTTGTTTCTGGGAGCAGTTGCAAATTATCATTATTATTCATTCCTTCGATTCCGAACAGAGTATGGAACTTAGGCAGCACACCACTATTACAATTGGTTCCATATTAGTTTGTTTATTAGATGTATCACACAGTGAAACAGTATTGTATTGGTTGTCTGTAGTCATTTTTCAACTGGTTCCACGACTTCCCACAGGCTTTCAATTCCTCTTCAAATGATCTCCATATCAGCCAACCAACTTGTTGATTCCCATTCGAGTTCTACTCGAGGACCTAGCGTGTGGTGTTGCTTGAAGTCCTCAATACATGTCCAATCTATCCTCATTTCTTTTTGCATATTTGTTGGTTGAGCAATAGGTTCTCCCCTGGTTTCCTACCCGAGTTCATTGCTCCTCATCTTTTCCGGCCTTTTGATCCTCACTATGTAGCGAAGTCGGCAGTCGTTGGAGAAAGTTCGCAGGAACCTATAGGGAATGCTTCAAGCTCCTGTACCGTAATAAAGGCACTGACTTGATTGTTGAATGTAAAATAACACCGCGGTTGACAGCAACGACGGCCTTCCCAAACTAGATAAAGTTGGTGAAAATAAGTGACTATCGTCTTAGATCGCTTTCGATGATGACGTGTACTGTTGCTATTCTGCTTGGGAAGGGCTTGGTAATTTTTAATGCAGCCTGTTCCCAGCGAATCCTTCCAGCTATGGCATCCTTTAGTATTTTGTTTGCAGTAGACAGGAGCATGTTTCTGCGCCGGTTCTTGCATTGGCTCAAGTTGTCCTGCTTCGAACACTCTTAAAATTGCCCTTCCACACCTACTGCAATAGTGACGAGGACGTGTCAGTACTTCCAGGGGAATTCTGTCAGGGTTGGTGTTCACTATTAGTTCTGTACCTGTCGATGGTATTTCTAGTCTCCTTGTAAATGGTGGTCGATTTAAAGGTCCTTTAAAATGAGCAGCCCACTGCTTCCACAGTTTCACGCCTTTAGTAATTGACTTTCCATTACTATCTTTCACTGGCTTCATCTGTGTTGATCTCTTCCCAGGTAGGAACGCTGTTGTCTGGTAAAGCGTCCTGAGGCCCCTCTTACCTGCTGCCTTTCCTGTTTAGTTGCCATTGTGTCGCTAAAGCGTCTTTTCCCTTTCCTAACACACTTCACTCCTTTATTCAATGCAAGGTAGATTAAATTCAGATTATCCGTTCATCTTCCATATCCACATTAGTCCGTTTTTTACCTTACCACTCTGATCTCCTTTTTCAGCTTTCGGATATTCGTAGAGAGCAATTCCTTGCCTACTTCCTTACTAAGACGGCAATACAGGCTTCCCTCGACACTACCTTTTTGCGCGGGTTTCCTCATTGATGTTGCTTTGCATCTTCGACTGTTTTCTGATGATTACAGTGGTGTATTTGTGGTTTCCGCGCTTCAGTTTGAGATGTGGACTATCTCCAACTTATTCGAAGGCCTTCAACCTTATCTTGAAGGTTTCCAGAACTAGTAACAGAGAGTGGTCTGAATCTACATCTTCTCCTCTTCTTGATTTCGTTTCTAGTAAGATGACATGAAGTTGCCTTTTGTATGCCCTGGTGTTGTCGCCATCAGTCACCAAATCATTGAAGGTGAAGAAGTCTGCAAAGAGTTCTCTGTTCTTATTCATTTAACCGATTACCGCTCGACATGAAGAATACTTTCCATGTGTTGTCAGCCATTCGAATCTCGATGTCGCCATCTTGAGCTGTTATCCACTACTCCCTGCAGTTGGTTGTCTTTAGAAATCCTCTTCCTACTGCATTGGCTCTGCTTTGTTTGTAGGTGCGCAGAATTGTAAAATTGTGGATTCCCTTGATTTGGAGTTGAATATTACTGTTATGATCCCGGAAGAGAGTGGTTGTCATCGCATGAGAGCCGTTGATGTCATTGGTAGCATCATGATGACTACATTCTCAGAGAGTTCATGGTTGTCATCTGAGCGAATGGAGTGGATGACCCTCGGGTTAATAATTTAGAGAATCCACTTCGATTCCATCTGCTCTCACAGATTCCTAAGACTTCTGTAGCATATGTTTTCATTTCTTTTGTACCTTTAGTAGACCTTCTAACCTCAAGGATGGTGGGAATTTTTCACGTTTTTATGCTTACATATCAAGCAACTGGTTTCTCGAAAGTTTTCAAACGCTAGCATTATGCCGTCCCGCTTCTGGTGGGTAGGTTTATTTACTTTTTAGCTTTGGAGTTTTATTGAAGGTGGAGTTGGTTTTTTACATGGCAGAGCTGCCAGCTCTATGCCTAACTTAACCTCTTTCCCGAACTTAGGACTCGGTTAGTTGAGTTGACGATTTTCCAAATTGATTTCCTGTTAAATAAAAGCATTTGTCAGACGAAGAGCACCTTATTGGACAATAATCACTTAGAAAACTTGAAAGAACTACTATCTCCATACATTTCCACATCTGTGTAAATATGCAATGGAATGTCTATTTGAAAACAAGTGAACTTAACGGATAAACATATATGTCAGTTTTTAATGACTTCTTAATTCCGTTCATTTCGTTTTGCTACTTACACTACTCACAAGTAGTTCATATATCTGAAGCGAAAATGTAGTTACTGAAGTTAAAGCCAAAACATCTGTTTATATTGGAATGTTCGTTAACATTACGTATATTACAGTCAAAAGGACTCAAATAAAAATACTCAAGACAAAAAACTAGACTAAAAGACAGAATACTCGGTTTGATCAGAACAATTTTTATTGTGATTAAGACATTGGATTTGTGTTCACCCTACTAACACTTCAACGAACCACAACATACGGTTGATCAATGGACTGAACTTCTCATACTGAGAAGACATAGGAGACAAATTGAAAAGGTAAAGAATTATTTCTCCAGAGAAAAGACAACCATAGGGATCACAGCTAATTATATGCTTACCTTATCAGATATGTAAACAATAGTATGTGAGAATAAAATCCGAAGACGACCTTTGATCTAGGTTAAAGTAGAATCTCTGGATCTCAAATAACGTAGGAAAAACAACTAATTTGTACCTTGTCCCAGGAATCTCGGTAACACCATCATCACTCGATAACGAGCTGAAAATCTGGCTAAGATGACAACTCTTTCTGTAAGCAGATCAGTTTCAACAAAGCAAAGCAACCACGTATCACATCATTTCTGCTAAATGATGCAAAACGACAGTAAGAGGAATATGTAATATATTGCCATTCAATTTCCGCTGTTTCGATAAAGAAATATGTTTTAAGATCTCTGATAGTGAACATAACAGTTGTCCTATAACAAGACGAACTGGTGACTGAATCTTACTGAACATATACACATATTTACACAAACGACCAAAACATGGTTCAAACATGAAGTACGAATATATAATGAACACAGATTATAATCCACGCACATACTGAGGTACGCCAGTTTATACAAGGGTACGGTGATAACAACATGCTACAGATTCTTCGCTAAGTTATAAAAATTATTAACCTCTAAAAATTAATGTACTCTATATATTATATTTAGGGTATAATATGGCAAGTTAAACTTTCTTCTAGCGAGTTTCTGCGTAGCTAATAATTTGCGTATTTACGTTACGCTATAAGAAACTTACAGGATGCAAGTAGGTGTTTTCATTAACTGGAACAGGTGGCCTTATACAAATGAGGAAGAAAGTAGGCAAAGTACATGTCTGTCTGAATGTACACATTAAAGGATGAGGAACTCCACTTTGTACAAGCTAATATTAACTAACTGAGAAATGGCAGTAGGAAGTAAAAAGATTTAAAATTTCCGAATATTGTATACGTTACCTTGCCTCTTGTTTGCGTTGACGAGCCTTGATCAAACGCTTGTTGAGTGCCTGTCTTTGTAAGCGAAGTTCAGCCAAGCGCTCCGCTAATTCATCTCGAACAGCAACTTTGGACCGTCGACACCGCTCAGCTGCTTGACGGTTAGTAGCTCGTCTACGTGCATCTGACATAGCTATCAACTGAATGTAGAAAAGAAATGAATTAACTACTTATTAAAGAACTTCATTCGTAACAAGTAAAATGATGCATATTATTAAGCAACAGTAATATCAGTGAATTCGCTTGGCGAACACGCATGCTGTTATGGTTATTATTATTATTATTATTATTATTATATCCTTTAATTCTTGGAGGAACATAGGGCTTCAGCTGCGCATCTCCATTGCCTTCGGTTTTCTGCCAACTTTGTCACTCCGCTCCAAGTCTTCCCACATGCTTTCATCTCCTCTTCACATGACCTCATCCAAGTCACCTTTGGACAACCAACTCGCCGCTTCCCCTTCGGGTTCCACTCGAGCGACGGCTTGTCTAGTGATCTCACTTGATGGTTTCCTCAGTGTATGGCCAATCCATCTCCATTTCTTCCTGCCTATTTGTTTCGCAGTTCCTGGTTGGTTCGCTCCCAGAGATCCCTCCCTGTGGCTGATCTTTTTTGGCCAGCCATCTGATCTTGAGTATTGAGCGGAGACAACTGTTAATGAAGGTCTGAAGTTTATTGGAGATACTCTTTATGACGCGCCAAGTCTCTGATCCGTAAAGTAGTTGGAGTTGAAAATCCGGATCTTATTTTTGATGCTGAGTGATGTTGACTTCCATACAGAGTTAAGGGTAATGAAAGCCTGTCTTGCTTTTCCGATTCTGGCTTTGATATCCTCATCAGTTCCGCCTGTAGTTGAAACGATGCTTCACAGGTAGGTGAAGGAGGTTGTTTCTTTCAGGTTCCTCCCATTCATGCTGACTGTCGTCTGTTGTTGTTGTTGCTGTTGGTGTTGGCCAAGAATCTTCATCACCTCTGTTTTCTCTACGTTCACTTGAAGTCCTATCTTTTTTGGATGCTTCTTCCACTGTGAACTTGTTGCTTTTCACTTGCATATCTTCCAGTTTGTGGGAAATCAGACATATATCATGGGCGAAATCCAGATCCTCCAACTTTTTTGTGTGAGTCCATTTTAAGCCTCTTTCTTCATTGCCCGTTGTCTGTCGCACTATCCAGTCTGCTGCAATCTGGAAGATCATTGGCGATAATGGACAGCCTTGCCTCACTCCCGTCCTCACTTCGAAGGTTTTCTTTTGTTATGTGAAAGAAATTATGTCTAAAAATTTGTCCAAAAATTACTAAGGAAATAACGAAAAGCGATTATTTAGAATCGACATGGTAGTTTCAAATTTCCATTACTGATAATTAGCTGAATTAAAAAACGTCTATAATGTCCACTGACTTTTAGGCAGCTTCAAAAGTGTTGGAGATCGAAATTCCCACGGTAAAATTCGAAATTACTTCAGCAAGTCTATACTTAGTTTCTCTCTAAAATTAAATAGTCATATTATTTCTATTTCAACTATCCATTTGCGGTTCATCTCCTCATTTTTCCATTTGAATTTCTTTTGTCACTGAGATCTTAGGTAAGTTAAAGTGATCAGCACTCTGATAACCTTTCAAGTAGCCAGTTAGTTTTTTTCAGTCGGTATCCAGTGTGATATTTAACAAGACAATTCTGGAACAAAATTTCGCGGCTCGCACAATGATACATAGAGGATAATATACAGATCATGATAGGACCTAAGGAAGCCTTGTATGCTGCATCACAATAACCAGCACACAGCACCCAGTAAGATGTTTCCAATATCTTTCCGATCTGAGAATTCGGATAACGTGTACCACATGCGCCTACCAAACGAGCTTGTAGCATGGGAGGCTACGTGTGCTTTTGGAAATATGTAGTATGGAAATGAAATTTAGCCGTTGTCTGAAAAACCACTGAATTTCTAAAGTAGAACTTTGTACAGAAGAGCAACAGTTCAATTTGTCACCCTCCGTGTATACCACACAAAGGTAGAGATAAATCAAATTATTCAAAGGAACTATAATGAAGTGAAATGTACAGGAGAAAGAATAAGTATGTAGAGGATAATGATTGACTGGTTTCAACATCGAATTTTGCACCGATGTGCAGCAGTTCGAGTTGACACACTACACTCATCACACAAAGACAGAGAAGAAAGTAAAAAGAAACGCAAAATAGAGACAGTAAACAGAGATATGAGGCAAAAAGAATAGTAATATCGAGTAACAATATAGTTTAATTCGGTATTATCAGTCACAAGGAGTGGATGCATCTGTGCCATCATCAATAATGATTTTCGGCCATATCACCAATTGTCTCCAGCCATAGGCTTTCACCGTCCCGAAGGGCCCAACCAGGAAGTCTACATCTTCCTACATAGCTGGCTTAAACTAACTGTTGTGGATTTTATTGACTGATGAGGCCATGTTTTGGTTTAACAACCACTAGCTCTTTTCCAACCTTACTCTATGTCAGCTAGCATTGCTCGTCGGTCGAGGAAGGCGATCGATGGCTAGGCATAAGTAACACATGTCCAAACCATCTCAGTCGATGTAACTTCACGGCCTCGTCGATTGATTTCCCGTCCTAATCTAGCACTCGACTGATGCCTAACCTCAATACGGCTCATCCTATTATACCATTTCACACGGGAGATAGAACACAGGCACCTACGGTCAAAGACTACTAGCCTTTTCATATCTTCTACTCTCAATGGCCATGTCTCGCTCACAGCAATTAAGGAAGACGGAGCGGACTCCTGAGCTGTTCACACGCCCTTTGGTCGATAGCCAGCCAGATATCACGTCTACGCCAGAGACGACCTAAATTGGCATATGCGAGACGAGACTTCTGTATCCGTTCTGAGATTTCGTCAGCGATCAACCCGCTGGCGTTGGCTGATGCAACTTCTCAAATAAGTGAAGTGATCGACACGCTCATAAAGAGTGAATGGGTGTGCGCCACTGAGAACCGTTTTCAGTCAAGTCAACAATAGTTTCCAGTCAACGGTTATTGGCGTCTCAAGGACAGCTCCATAGTCGCACCGATTGATTTTTCCGCCTTAACACTCTACGCCTGGCCCCAATACTAGTCACTACATTATACTACTTAACACAAGAGACAGAACGCAGACATCTACGGCCAAAGATAGCTTGTCTCTTCAAGTATTCTGCCTATGATAATGTTTCACAGTCATAATGAAGGGCACAGAGAACACATCTTTTGGTCGATAGTCAGATATCACGTGTACCCTAGAGATGATCACTGCCATATGAACTAGTGCCGGTGGTATCGCACTAAGTGCTAGAGTCGAAGCTGCATTACCCGACTGGATCCTCACTAACTATCGTTTACGTGTTATGATCTTAGGAAGTTATACTAGAGTGAGAAGCGACTAGCCAGAGAAACGTTGTTTATTCATAATCTCTTCCTATGTGGCGACGGACTGCAGCCAAGTTGCAACTAAGGATGAGTTATGCTATCACATTTGAGCGAGCTTCCGAATGTGAGACTAACGGATATAGATACTATCTCCTCTAGCTTCGTGTAGATCACAACCTACTTCCGGCCATCATCGAATTCCGTCACAGCCATCATTGTCTTATTACCTGGAGTTCTCTCTCTGTCACTCAAGTCTGGACTCAAATAGATGGCGTTACTATCGGCTATCGATTGAGTAGGTTCACATATGACGGCTGTTCATTCTGGAATACTTGTGTGGATTCGTATCATGCTTTACTGTGTTCCGGGTTGATGTCGCGATTAGGTGATCATAAACGTAAAACTGGTAGTGCGTGATATTGCAGTGGACTACTGAACCGGGCTTAACTCAAGGCTAGCTATTCAGCTAAGAGGTGCTCGCATGGTTAACAGATTGCTAGCATTGGAACTGGGTAGGAAAAGAGAAGAGGTGATGCTGTGGGATATACATCAATACTTCCTGTGTGGGTCTTAAGATTTTATTTCGAAGCAGCAGCTGAAGATATTTAACAGATACCGTCAAAAATTGTAGTTAGTAGTGAACATCGTGGAATTTGTTCTCTCTTTCTGAAAGTAACATGAAGTAATCATCGCCCATTGAATGACTGGGTGCCAATAGACTACCAAGTTGTGTTTAAATAAACCAAATAATAAATGTAGCCAGGTCATGAACTCAGTGCGTTTCAGAAGTGGATATTCTATTGTAGGAACTATTCTCTGTCTTGTTCACCAATTCATGGTATAAACTGTTTGATATAGATATGTGCCTCTAAAATATAACAGTTCATACGCTTTTCAAAATTAAGTTTTTTAAAGTTTGCCTCAATGTGTCTTTCTAAGCACCCGTCTACTTCCAACCCTTCTTATTTGCCTATGTGGATGTCAACGATTGTGCTAAATACACTGATCGCATTTTCAAAGTTTACGTAAATCTCTTCACATCAAGATAGAGGATTTGACATGACATTAGCTCAGTTGAAGCTTTCGTGGAAGTCACTTTTTATCCTATGCTTGATTAGGTTAAATCACATAACGATCACATTACTGGGTGATCTAACAATGTATTCGCATGGTGTAAAATAGATCAACTTAAAGAAGGGAAACTAAACACAGTTAATATTTATGAGCTACCTAGAATTTATACTTAATTTGTCAATTCTAATTAATACTACTACTAGGTGATACTAAATAATCAAAACGCTGAGATGCACACGAGGGTTAGGCTATGTTCCAATTAAGAAACAAAGGAGCCCATAAAGAAATTGGTCTTATCTATGATGGAGTCAAAAGTGAAAGGTTGGCGACGTTTTTAAACCTATTGACGACTAGTACATATAACGGCTTTACAAACTTAAAAGAAATAGAAATTTGCAAATATGTAAAATCTTTAAACGTAACGTACCTGTTCTTCAGTCAAACCAGGAGTTGCTCTTAGTTGACGAAATTGTTCATTTGTTGAATATACAATATCTTCATACGAAAAAGGAACTCCAGCAACCTCAAGTACATCAATATCACGAATATGCCGGTCTGATCTTTTGCTGACAGCTGAGCTGGAACACGTTGACGATGCGTTTTTTTCATGAACTTTGTCTTTTAGCTCGTGGATGTTAAATAAGTTTGAATCGCATGGGATTGAAGAGGCGATGTATGACTCTTTGTTCAGAAATCTATTTATGTATTCTGATCTCAACCTTTTATGTTCCATTCTTGGACGAACAACTCTTTTTGTGGACAAAAAGTTAGGTGTCTGAAGGACACTATTTGTATTAACAGATTTTAAACTTTTAGAAATTTTGAGGTTATTGTACTTCATAGAATACTGCCGATCAAACTTGTATTCTAATTCGGAATCAGAGCTTGAGCTGGACTGCAAAACATTACTAAATTCTTTTCTACTATCAACGGATTCATAACAGTCTGCGTCATCTAAACTGCTTGAACTTCCACTGCACAACCGAAAACTTGACTTTTTATGCACATTTTCTGATTGTGTCTTCACGGTTGGGAGCCATGAATTATGATCAACTTGGTGTATATCTGCTAACGGTTGAGGAAATTTGGTGGGTACATCCAAAACTAAACAACTTCGGGTAAGACCTTGGGATGTGTTTGTCGAAGATCCTGAAGCCTAAATATATTCACCAAAGTCCGAAAAAGTGACTGTTGTATTTACAAAAATGTCGAAACTAGTAAATTTGGTATGATGAAAAGGTTCACAGATAATGGCATGGGTGTAAATAAACAGTAAACACTTGTAATAAGTGAACACGAATGTAAACAAATATTAACTACGTCACGATTTGTGACTTCCACTGACACTAGGTTACTGAATCCTAAGCCAAAACACAATACTGCTTTTCTTCCAATTCTATGAATCAAGGTAGGACTTCGCACATACTTGCACTACTTTAGAAATGCAAACATGGTGATCTGCTATAAAAAAAGACGTGTAATAGAGTAATCTAATGAAGAGAAATGAATACATTTAGTATTTGAGTGATAAAGATGGCATACGTCTGACTTTATCAACGCTCTCCAACTATTTCCCTAAAAATCCTCAACCACCGATGTTTAGTATTTGACGGACCTCCACCAAGCAACTTATACTGTACTTAGTGTCAATACCATAGTCTGACTACTACAACTAACCTTCTTTCCAATCGAATTCTACACCAACACTTCTCATCGAAGATAATTCCTCTGATTAATTCATCTTTCTTAACTAACACTACATCCATTGATATAAATTCGGCATATGCTCTGAAAAAATTCGCAGACAATACATTGGTGATGTCTTCTAACAGAATCTTCATTACCCGAGTGAGAGACTAATTCGCTAACAAGAGAAATTAAGATGACTATAAAGCAATGTAGGATGCATGGAACGAAAATTAAACAAGTAAAATTCGAATAAATTTTGCAAACTGCGATTCCGATAGCAAATACGTCTGTTCAACCATCACACCAGAATACGGCTACTTGAATTTATGCAAACTCCTGCATATGATTTATTCGAATACTGCAGCTACCGCAAAACCAAGGCATAAGTACTGTAAAAATAAGAGCTTAATTTAAATCATTTTCACTACCTGTCTAAAAAAACTAAGCAAAAGCAACTATTTACCCATTAAAACTTACCTGGTGATTCAAACTTGTATTTTCGCTAAGAATGGAAGAGGACTGTTCTAACACCTCCGAAGAGTGAGTTGATAAGTTTACACCAGTCTCCTTGACAGATACATCTCCAGCATGGGTCAACTCTACTGAAGAAACCTGAAGGTCAGTTTTACTTGGTAAATGTGAAGCAGTTTGTTCTTCATTTGATTCCAGGTTGAGAGACTGCAACGGGACTGACTGGACATCAACTGAATCTCTGTTATTTGGCTCACCCCAAGAATCCGTTGGAGACATAGGTGGAAAAACCGTAACGAGTGTTAGAGGACTAGGAGCAATGCTGATAGGAAGATCTGATTCCTCGGTTGTTTCTATGTCGTAAGTTTCAGTAGACGATGAAGTTCCTGGCTTAAAGTGAGTTAGCGACTGGTGAAATAGAGATTTCAAAATCTAACTTACTGATCTAGTTGTTGCCTCAGAGACAACTGATGTGAAAGTTGACAGGGGAAGTTGGTTAGTCTGAAAAAGCAGATGCGCTTCCTCCAAAGAATCTTCAAGATCCATTTTTTGTAAGGCTGAAACAAAGTCCTATAGCAAAAAATAATCGAAATCAACCACCCAAACCTGTGATATTCCACCTCGATCTACATGAACAGCTGATGCTTCTTTTACAGGATACTGTAAACAATAGAATTATGTAGCTTAAAAAAACTTCACGCTCATAGAACGTCATAAAAGTGTCTTCCATTGTATAAAAACGAGAATACAAAAATACCATTATTATACGGAAGGTAACTTAATTTTGGCCTATTGTATCTTCTGGATGGCTCGGTATTCAAATATTTAACCTTTTCTCTCCTTCTAAAACACTTTTAAGGAGTCATCACAGATCGTGCTCATAAGGCAGTCGAACAAAGTCCAAGTTCCAAATACGGTGGTAAGCAACTGGACATCCTTAGTATCGGTCCCAACTGTGAATGCTTTTAAACAGGAATACGGTCTACACGAAGGTACATATTGCAGTAATTAAAAAAGGCCGTAACACCCTACTATTATTTATCATCTGAACCCGAAACAAACGGTTAGACTAGTAGTGGTCTGTACTAAAACAAAGCTAGGAAGCTAGGATTTGGAAACTTTAAGTACTCTCGACCTGTCAGACTAAGCTATTTACTGGTTTAGCGTGTTCTGTCTGGCTTTCCCATTGAAGAAGATTTATTCTCATTCATGACAGCCTCAAAACAATCCCTTTAGCCTACTCAAAAATAAAATGCAATACAATTACCTTGCAAAAGTTAAATAAAAAAAAATCAATTTGTATGACTTTAATGCCTCTATATAACCAGTAGGGATTCCAGTATCCTGATATTTATTATCCAAGCTAAAAAAAAATTAGCTTATTATTAGGACTGCTGGTAATACCCAAGATTGAGAAAGACAAAGGACGATTCGAAATCGATTGAAAAAACCAATAAGCCTTATGCCTTATTAAATAAAAAATAGACCATTCAGTCTGCAATTATTCTGATACACCAGTCACAAACTCCTGTTTTATCGGTTGCCACTAGAAGACCTTTGACCTTATAAGGTTCACATAAATTCGAACAAATAACAAGTTGGAGAGACCGAAATACGAAAAAACCTTGTTCTACGTAGATACACCTATCTAGCACACAACATAATGAAGTGTTATTTTTGGTAAATAATACGAACTCACCAACTCGTGAAACAAAACGAATACTGAAATACTTATATGTGTCCGCATCCATGATCCAAGATAGAAGTTCGACAATTTATCCTTTACTACATCATCCAATCTTTCAGGAATACTGTCTTTCAAGAATATAGTTTTGACTTTGAGACAGCCATCCGACTCTAAAACCAAAAAGAACCAACATCTATCCATTGTTGCGAACCCGTTCCATTGACCTCCACAGATCCGGATAATTTAAACAAAACAAGATTTTCAAAATCTATGCAAAAACTCGTCTTTTGGTAGCTTTTTCGCGAAGTACAACAAAGCGAATAGATTTCTTCGTGCTTTCATCTTGGTGTAGAGGTAATGGTCCACAATTTGTAGTTTCCTATTTGAACTAATCACTAACTTAAAGTTGTTGTTTGCTGGGAGATTTGGTCGGCAGAAGGTTGGTTATAGTGCATTATCAGTATACAGTGTATCATTGCCGTGAGACTGTGGCTAAACTGTCTCTTTCTGTAGATTAGTGAAATTCAATATCTTAAGTCGTTTTTACGAGCTTATATGAACCGAATTGACTTTTTCTCGCAGCTGATTAGTTGCTCGGTAAATTTCTGCATAGTTCATCCTGCCACTCGATCATCGTAGCTGTACTCGACTTCACGGATTTCCACAAGGGAGCCAGAAGTGCCAGAATACCTTTGTTTGGGTGAATATCATTATTTTTAGTGAAAACAATAAAATGACAGATAGATAATAAAAACATACATATTTCCAAAATAACGAGAATTCAGCCAGTGAATAGACGTAAAGTGAGACCATTAAGCATAAGTGGGTGTCGGAGGATCGATGTTTGATTGGTAACCTAGTGATACTTTTAAGCATCTGAATATTACTTCTCAAGTTGTTTAGATTCAACGCAGTATGGGAGCGGTTCATGTGTTCATATGTGATTTTTCAACCTCCACTCAGAGCTTCCCACCAACTGTGCAATAGCTTGGCTGCTGGCATGGCGTTGTGACGAAATAAACTTCTAACTCTTCATAAAATGTTTTGTTTCACAAATCTATGATGGCAACAGACCGCCTATACCTGACTAACTTATTTTGTAGCGGATAATGTCATTTCTAAGGGTGCCAAACGCCTCCGTCGTGTGAGGACGCACCAAACGAACTGTGTCATTCATGTCTCGGCGAAATATCCACACAATCTGTGCTGTTATTGGATATGTCCTGAAACCATGCTATGATTAATTTAGTGTGTCAAGGTGTTTCCTCAGAAGGTAGTCAACTTAGCCTTCCTATACCTTAGCACTAACGGGAATAACGCTTCGTATATATAATCCAGAGCATTTCATTATCGAAGGAGATAACATTGAGATGCGCAATGGGTTTCCATGCACTCTCTGGAAAGTGACTGCCAAATGTAAACGCAGCCAGCTTTTCTTTATCGTCTAGTTCTAGTAGTTAACAAGCGACAGGTGTATAATTTGTGGTGAGTGAACTCATCGGGCTGATCCCATAGAGCAACCAACACTCATCAGAAGGTTCCTTCACAAGTGCTGTGTGATAAAGAAGCATGCTGACAATCCGCTACCGCGCTAGGCCGAAGTGATCTGCCACTTGTGACTTCCATCTATGCCAAAATCAGTCAAAATCACCGGTCATCATAAATCTCGTTGTTACCAACCCCTTAATACATTTATCAGAAATTCATTTAGCAGTCGGTCGCTAATAGCCATCTTTACATGTCGCGTTTCGGAGAATTCAGTTCCCTAAAGGTCACGGGCTTAGCTCCTGGTGTGACTAGGGTTGTGCATAATCTACTTCGTTTTTATACAGTTACAGCTTAGCAGACGACCAATGAATTTCAGAAATATTTTCAGGCTGTCTGGTTTAAATGCTTTCAAATTCTGCGGTTGTTCAGCTTTGCTGATCGTTAATAGCCTCCGATTTCTTAGTGCATTCATTTCTACTCCTGTAAAAGAATAGCTTCAAGGTTATTGTCATCAAAGGAAGCTGTGTGGTTCAAGAAACTAAACAGCGACTAACAGATTCTGACAGAAATTCCATGTGGTGACTTAGAATTATCCCAGCCTACATCACTGACTGTCTGAATCTAATGACTTAAAGTCTGTTTACTGGCAGTCTCAGGACTTTGAAGTCAGAAATCACACGGGTCTGTGGTTTTCGTATTTAAAAGGTTTCATGAACGCTGTTTGTCTAATTCAATAGACATAGATAGTTGTGGCCTTCAACTAATCTGTGTGTTGGTATTCCTTACTTTGCAGTACAGAACTGCCGCCTCATGTAGTTTTTCCTGGCACACATTTCAATACGACTTTGCCAGTCATACACCCCTTAAAAATCCATCGTTTTAAGATATTTTCACTCAGTCGACTTGACTTACCCTGCTGCAGAAAGTAAATGCGTGAAAATGAGCTAAACGCTTTTAAGAAAGATTGCAATATGCTCTGCAGTAAATCCTATTTAGCCACATTGCTTTCTGGAAAGGCTGTGACTCATTTTCATATAACTGTTCACGGCTTAATTCACTGGTAACAACTTCAGAAGTTAATTTTAAATTTCCGCTCCTCATCTTGGGATAAACTCTATGAATATTCGTCAAGAGAGGCTCTACAATCTGGAATATATATAGTCACTGGAAATCATACACTTGAGACATAGTACAGAACACTCAATAAGAAGGCTAATATATTTTTGTGTGTCCCCAAAGACATTAATTTCTCAAGATAACCGACAATTGAGTTTGTTATTAGTAAGGGGTCACCGTATCTACGAGTCTGCATGCTGTATGGCTGTAGAAGAATGAAATCAACTTTTAATATATTGCAACAAAATGGCATCAAGAAAATCCATAATGAACAAGATTTATTTTGATAAAGTCTCATAGTGTTGCACAGTAATATATACTGAGGACATTAAGGGTACAATTTATCACTCATAATCATATCAGGTACTCACACAAGTTTCTGAATTATTTCTGAAGTTGGTATGATTAAAAGAAAAAGATTGCTCTAAAAATGTCGTCAGTAAATGTTACTGTATAACAATGTGAGACCTTATCAAAATAATTGTCTTCATTAACGGGTTTGTGCTCCGACACAGTGCCTAAATTCTATCCTAGTATTAAGAAAAACTGGTTTACATCCAAGTGCGAAAAATTCAAACGCATTTGTCAAGCCACTGAAAGGTTAGGCACTCCGCCGCAAACGTGTGAAGCGGAGTAATAATTGTGGGCCTCTTCGAGCTTACTTTCTCTAGATATCGGCTGTTTCATCTGTAACTTCTCAAGAGCACGTCTATATTCTCGTCTTCAAAGTAATAATAATGTATATATTTCATATAAATTTACAAATTTACATGAAAATGCATGCCTTTTTTACAGGCACGATCAAGTATAATAGAATGTCAAATCGTAGATAGTCTAGAAGTTAATAATGTTTCGACTGTTAAACATTTGATATATATATATATATATAATTACACTCATTGTCTGAACCAGGCCGTATAGTTATTGAATTGTACAGTTGTCCTCCAGGTTGAGCGGAAAAATCGACTTCGTTTCGTTTTCATCCCGTGGTTGTAGGAATACGATAACTAACCAATTTGAGGTAAGTACAACGTTTACAAGGGATTGAAAGCTATTTTAGAAAAGTAAAAGTGCTAAGGTGAATCACTAAATTGTAATGAAATAGGTAAGTGCAAATATTATTAATAAATGCATTAATAAAGGAAACCCCCTAGGCTGACAGCGTTCATTCGCAATGTATAATGCTACCCATATATGTCTTACTATCGTGACGACCACTTTTGGTTTTAATACATTTATCCTCATTCCGGTTCTTTTTATTTTATACCTTTTGAGAACAGGAATAGAATAAGTCGAATCAAATAAATAAAGAGCTATAAAATGTTAGGTTTAATGGGATATAATGAGGATCAAGTAAAGACGTTATTAGAAAATGAATGAGATAAGACATTGTGAAGTGGTATTTAAAGATCCGACAGTGGATAGTAAGTTAATTTATAAGATGCCCCATAAATCTGTGCAGAGCCCACGTGGTCGCATCTCAACAATAGACTGAGCGAATGGTATATATTTAAAGGCAGAAGCATGATCTGTCTAGGCGTTCATTATTATCCTTTTCAAGATAAAGATCTAAGCCCTCATAAAAATCAGAAAAATCTCGAGCCGTCAAATTGCATATTGCTGTTCCTGCAGAATTGGGCGATTCACCTTGGTGATCACCACCATATCTATTGATCAGCTAGCGCCACCCTTGCTATGCTAAATTTTGTCGACCGATTTTATATGGTGTGCGTTACACATTGCAAAGTGACTCATCAACCATACAATGGAAAAAATACTACATAGCTTCGACATTATGAATTTTAGAAAATTATATGAGAATGGGTAGCTGTTGACTGAAAATAGCCAATTCAACTCAAAAATAGTGCAGTGCATTATGCTAATAATATAAGTATATTTATAAAATATTAAAGGACATGGTTGCTAATGTAACGGTTTTCGCAAATAATTATACTGACGAACTTATCGAAGATTACGGTGAAGAGGAAACCAGTGAGTTAGGTAAACGGCCACTGTGCAGTTAGTAGTTAAAACGTCTTTTTTGAAAGTAAAAGGTAGAAGAGTTTTGAGTACCGGAGAAAATTAAGTCATATTCTAATAAACAGAGTGTGGTGAATAGTGGTACGATTAGGGATAAGGGTAGGTTGAATGAACTTGGGGAAAATGGTTGGTTGGTTGGTTGAGTCTGTTATTGCTAGGTTTTCCTGGCCACTTTTCACATGGCATGCTTTAGACATTACTGAGTACCAGTTTGCTTGTATTATGGAAGAACTATCACAACTAATTTGGGATTATACGTCCAGGAAAATTATAGAGAGTCTTATGAGTTTATAAACCCGATTGAAGAAATATCGATAGGATCTCTAGTAAGCTGAATAACCGAACCTTAGGTAAAGGCATGTGGGAGAGATTAGGTTGGTTTTATCACGTTATAGATGAGGTACGGTTGCCGGGGCAAATGAGTTTCCTCAAATTGGGGGTATTGCACTGGGGTCTGTAGTACTAAAGCTAGTTGAGCGGCCTATATGGATAAAGTATGGATAAGTAGACCGAAGCTCTTTTGTTGACAGGAACTCGTTAAGTAGACGCTGGAATTCAGTAGGAGATCGTCAACAACGTACAGTAAGTGGAAGTT